CGCATCTGGGTTACGAGCTTTACAAGGCACTAGCTTCTTTCTTTATCTCGTGCCGGGGCCATCGTTTCGGCCCTAAGCGATTTCTCGAACGTCTCTTCTGCCCGCGTTTTCCCGTTCCGTAACCCTAGCTTGTCATTCCGTCGCGCTCAGGGTCGGATTTTCGCTGACCTCGTAAGCCATCTACTGGGGCACTTGTACGTATATTACGAAATGTAATATTTGCTAGATAGACACAGTGGATATAACATGTATTGATTTCGACGTTATTGTTACGTTTGTTTCCATCGCCTTGCAATTTTCCTATTCTTTTCCCATCTATTGTTTTCTGAAAATAAATCATACTCTTTTTCGATCTTGATCTTTTTTCAAGTTATGTAAAGAAGTGAGGGGTGTCCTCCGGTTCAATATGATAAAATCAATGATGACTTTTTTCAAGTCTCTAAATGAGATTTACGCAATGCGAGTACATCGAATATAATTTTAACGATATTGATTTATACCATACATTGTACAACTTTGACACCGTTGAATTAAGTTTTTTTTTATCTTAAACTTTATTTTATTCTTTAAACGTTTTTTTCTGAAGCTATCAAAATGTTTGTGTGAATCGTTCGCGTTTTTTTTTTTATGCGTTCATGATGTTTGTGCCAGAAGAGATCCGATCCTGAGTCATATTCTTTGATCGTTCTGTCATTTTCAGGATGCTCCCCCGCACTTACTTTCCTCCGACACTCTTCAACTTTTTTTTCCTTCCCTCTCTTGTCATCAATTGAGGGAGAAAGTAGTAGTCTTAAGGTGGTTCAGGTTCTGCCTCTGTTACTGCACACATCAAACAAGTTTCAAAGCATCTGCGTCTCCAAGTCAGTGTTCTCCGGGTATTTTATGACTGCGTACCTCCCGGCTTGTAAACACTCAGTTCAAGTACTGTCGAATGGGATCCTTTTAACTTTACACTCTATCAAAACGATCTCGACGCCGTGTAATGTCGGAAAAACAATAACTTTCTAATTCAAAGACTTAAGCAATTTGACACGTTAAGTAATTTGACAAACAAATAAACTTCCTTTCGAAATTTGGATAGTCAACGGAAACGGTTTTGTTATGTGTACAATTTCTTGTCACATTTGTCAAATTACATCACACACAGGCATATGTGAAATTAAAACCGACGTTACGAATATAACAAACATAACCAGCTATAAGACGCGGACTGATGCGCTTAAAGCTAGCGCACTTTTCTAAAAAAAAAAAAAAGGCCGAATTATTCTGTGATACACATAGAACATCAAGCACGTGCGAATAGCGGTTGGCAAAACTTCTATATCGGTCGTCTCGCGAATAAATGTCGCAGTTACAAGGATTGCACTGGAAATTGGACACGTAGGCGCACGTTCCGCTCTTGCGAGCTGGATGCACCAGCGGGTGCAATAACGATAACGGTGATCGCACCAACGCGCGCGCGACAATGTTACGTGACGATGACGGGCGGCAGCGACGTTACGACCGCGATAATAAAGAGATACGAGAATTAGCTCGGCCAAACGGCCGAAGATGATATCCCGTTGGTTTCCTTGACCATTTGGCTTGAGCCTTGCAAATGGAGAACGCGGATTTGTCTGCTGAATGCAATCACTGTGCGGTTTAAAAAAAATACGTGCTTTATACAGGCTGTTTTATTATTAAAAAAAAAGATTAGAAGATTATTTTCTCTCTACATTTAATATTATGTAATTCATATTTTTTCTATTATTGTGATAGAGAAAAATTATATAAATTATATAATTGTATAATAAAAATACATCGTATCTTAAATTATAATCAAGATCATTTGACAAGATTTTACTTAAATTTCATGGATATTATGTCTAGTTTTATGGGTTGAAAAACTACATCTATTTCATGTTTTTAGTATTTATGTTATTAGTACGTACTAGCATTAGCATTGCAAATTATCTTATTATTCACTGACAGCCGCAGGCTTACAAATGCAAAAGCGACCGTGGCGATTAACATAAGCGCGACGTTACGACGGCTTATTCGTCATGTCTGTTATTAATATTAATAGACAACTAAATAAGGGTTAAATACCACGAGATGTGGATCATCGGGAAATCTCGTCGTACTGCGTACGTATCGACGTAATTCTCTTCCCTCGTTCATGACCCTCGCGGTGAGACCGTCCGTACGTTCTCGTACCCCTTTTCTGGGGTTGACGTAGTTAATATACAAGGCACGCGGGAGAGCGATCCGGCTTTTCGACCCCGGGATTTCGTTATAAATAAGGGTCGTGTGCACTCACCGCAGAAGAAGAAACGTTAACGTACGAGGTGCTAACGGTTATACATTTTTGTCCTCGTTGAGCTAATTCCGCCGGCTATTACTACTCGCTCGTGCTGAGACCAAAGCCCGAGTATTCGATATATATAGCGGAATCTTTCCGCAACAGAGAAATAAATTAAACCTACAATCGAAAAACTTAATGATCGATCCGTTTACTGTCGTGGAAACGACACATTTCTCGTTGCTTGTGAGAATAAAAATGTTACTTTTACAACGTGCACTTTTTTCGATATCTTGGAGATGCAAATAAAAAAATTAACAAGTGCAAAAATTAACGTAAACAATGTATTTTTTTCAATTTTGGAGAAATTCACTTCACATTAGTGCAAAAAAATAAACAAAAGTAAAGAAAAACAAGAAATGTTTCGACAAACAATTACAAAGTCAAATTCTGGCTTTAGAGATTAGTAGGGGGGCGCGCCAGTGTGAAAAATATAATGTCACATATACCTATGTAGATATATATTTATATGTAACGATATATTTAATAACAGTCTATAAGCGTGTCAAGAAAGAGGAGCGCATGAATCACATGGCCGGACATAATTTCCGCATCTGTGTTTTTTCCCTTCGCGGGAAAAGAAACTAAACCGGATTGCCGTTTTTTTTTTCCGCACCGCCTCGTTTCTCTCCCTGAGGTACTTTCCGTGATTCTGTCCGCCGCACGCGACAGCATCGGGAGTCGGTCATAAATTTTCCGCGCACAAAGCGAACGAAATTCAAAAAAGTACCGGACTTCTATGCTCCGCGTCACGCGAGCCACCGATAACATTAACGAGCCAATCCTCGCGACGACGTCCCGGCAGCGCGCGCGCGCAGGATCTTCCGACGATCGAAACGTGAAAAGGGTGTGTTATCGTCCCGCTGCTTTCGCTCCCTTTGTGCTTTATGCACGGAGCCTCGACAAATTATGGGAAACCTAGTTGACTATAAAAAAAAAAAAAAAAAAAAAAAATATTGTCTCTTACCTTTTTTTTATACATCATATTCGCGAATATATATTTTTATCTGTACGATGACTGGAAACATTCTCGATTATTGTCCCATCATTTCCTAAGATTGTTTCTGTAGCTGTGAAAAATCAAATAGATCTTATAATTAGGAATAAAAATATACATGTGTGTGTGTGTTTGTGTGCGCGACAGTTAAGTTTCCGTATTCTAAAAGTTATGTCAAGAGAGAAACGCGAGATGAGGGAAACACGTGCGGAAGGAATACATATGAGTCACGGATATTGCGCACATGCTACATCCGAAATTTCGCGGATTAGTTCAGTCGGTGACACGTACCGGTGTCATCTCGGTGTCGCAAAAAGCGGAATTTCACCTACTGACGACAGTTTGAAAGATCCCAGAGAGAAGCGACGTATATTCCCTTCTGCGGCTTAATGTACCAGTCGTTCTCCTTCCGGGCCGTCCGTTTCACCACCCTCTTTTGCGCGCCGCGGATTTCCCTTTCTGGCAGCGCGGCGTGTCGTGAGAGCGGCGTAACGTGCCGAGAAACTGTTTTCTCTTCTCCGCATTAGGAGGAAACGTTTCTACGTTTCACTTCAGCCTCGCGCTCCACACTCTCTTCTCTCCCTTTCGTCTCTCGCGCCCTTCATGCTTTTTTCTTTTCTCTGGCGACGCCAGATGCTGCTAACTGCGCCCCCCTTGATGAGATCCTGGTTCCCTTCGCTCTTCGCCTCGCGCTGCAACTCGCATCTCCTCCTTCTGTTCCTCCTCCTCCTCTTCCTCTCTTTCTGCCGATCCATCTTCCTCGAAAAAGAGATCGCTACACGGCTGCTTTATTCGTACGAGCAAGCGAAGGAGAAACACGGATTCTTTATATTCGCCGGCTGCTCTCGTTATTGCGGCGGAACTGATGATCACTCGTTACTACTTGTTGGTATCACGGCTAGCTGGCAGAGGTATCGCGCAAAAACATAAAGATTGTATCGCTAAGAAGAAGAGAAGAGCAATGACACGCGGCTCCCAGAGATGCAGTTCGATAGACGAATGCAGTTTCAACAACGATGTAAACGGAATTGTTACAAAATCGCGAATCGTGATATATATATCTCGTGCGATTTTCGAATAAAATTGTTATTGATGATCTTCGTATGTATTCACAATCTCGAAGCGCTGATGCGGTCCCCGCACGCGGGTCAGCTTCATTAAATTAAATCATCATTGAACCAACACACGCGGTATACGCCTACATGGACTTAAGTTTGACGAAACTTTCGCAAAATTAGATGACATCAAACTGCTACATCGTCGATATTACCTCGCTAGATATTTGATGATAACAAGCGAATCTCCGTTAGCAAAATATTAAAGAAGTTCTTGATCGAGACCCTTATTATGCAATCGGAGATGCGAAGAAACGGTATGTGCGAATAATAATTCATCTAATTATTATTCATGTATGCAAACGGCGAGTCGTTTATGTAGCCGAGACTTGCTACTATTAATCTAATAATAACGGGCAAATAATGAGCAAATAGCAGAGAAAGGGAGAAAAATGTGTACGCATTCCATAATGACAACGTAATACTTTACGTGGAGTAGCGAAGTGGAATAATTTACGGGTTAAAAGCGATCGTTTATCTCGAGAAATGCTATCAATCTTACGCGAAGCGACGTATCGCTAAAATGATCCCGCTTTTTGTGTTTCAGCTCTCCGAGCTCGAGCAGCGGGTGTTGGAAGCGGAGGGCAGGGCGGATGAAGCGGAGGACAAGGTAAGCGCGCAAATTTCACGTTATCGCGTGGATGTTTTTCTTCTTCTTTTTTTTTTTTTTAACTGAAATCTACAAATTGTATATCGAGCGTGTGCTGTAAATGAACCGTAAGGAAAGTCTCGAGGTTTTTATTTCGTCCAGATAACATTTGGAGTTTCGCGTCTCCCGCGTGAATCTTACGTAATAGCGCGCTATACAGACTTGTCTACGATATTTTCATATACCTTCCACACGCGAGCTAATCCTCGCTCCACCTAGATGAAATGAATGACACATTTCGCGCGGCGTATCCTTTGGAAAGGTTCCATCTTATCATCCTCATATTCTCTCTCTCTCTCTCCTCGGGGTTGTTTACCCTCATTCTATACCGTGCACTGGTGTTCTTTTACCGACGACGTCGAGAGAGAGTCGACCCGTTTCTATGACCTCGCGCGCGCGTTTCTTACCCTCGTACATCTAGCTTTACCGACGGACACCAAAATATCCCTCCGGAAATGGAGCATCCTACAAACCCCTACGAACCCGGGGTTACCAGCCGGGGAAAATAGCGAGTTGCGCTCAATTTTCACCACTCCGCTGATGATATTCCCGGATGTAATATAAAAAAATGGAGCACAGCTGATAAACTCGAGAGGAAACAAACACATGTGGTGCAAAAAATAACGTAGCGAAACACTGTAGCAATTTTGTTTCTTAGCATTTTGCATTTTACATTAATTTAATTTTAAGATAGATAGTTGTTTGTATAATTTCTCTTGTGGTGTTGTGCAGAGAATCGTACGTATAAAACACAACAGAACAAATTTGCGAAGTATCGAGACTTGAAACGTTGAAAAGTAATTTTCAAACATGTGAAGATATGTCATATTTGATAGACAAACATCACTGGATGTCACGCTAAAAATGAAATTACTATCCTTAAAATTTTTTTTTTGAGTTATTTAAAATTACTCATTTTTTATAAGACGTGGTATTGCAGAACTTTAACAAACAAACTTCTTTCCGTTATTGTATGAAATGAATTATATCGTAACTGAATCATATCATAATTTATCACATATTTACGATTAAAAGTCTCATCAGATCCTATTTTGCGAGATACGATGTGTTTATAGAACCGATTTTCTACAAGCTCTGATTCTAACTACAATTATGATTTCTTGTCAAATTGATTTATTGATTATTTATTGAATTATTGATTATGATTTCTTGATTTCACAGAAAATTTGCACAAGTTTGCTTCTAACTTTAGTCGGATCAAAATTCCTTTTATGTCACTTTAATGAGAGAGAAATCGATTTTCTCCTCCCTCTCTGTGCCTCTGTTAATTAAAATCTCACGTAAAAATAGGTAAGCGGGGTAGCTTTGTTATCGATACTCACAGGGAGAGGGCAAGATATCGATTAACTGCAGATGCGTCGGTGTCTGTCGGTATCCGTCGGTATTTCAAGAGAGAGGGAAAGAGAAAGGGTGAAAGCGCGAAAGAGAGGGTGGAAGACGGGGGGTAGAAGAGAAAGAGAAGAGAGAGAAAGAGAGAGCAAGAAAGACTGATAGGAGTAGCAAGATGGCCGTGCAACCGGCCGGCGAGGTCGTCGTTTTGTTATGACCCCGAAATTCGCCTCCGCGAAACCACGTGCATCCGCGACGGTGCATCGCGCGAAACCGATCTCGCGACAATTGACGTGTCGATTTTTCGTAAACGATTGGCAATCTGTCGCACGATCGCCGATCCGTCGTCGTCCGCGGTCGGGACGTCGAAGGTCGAGGTCGTTCCTGTTTCTGTTCTCATGCGTGAAGAACTATGGCTCACACCAGGTGACATCCATGAAAGGTAATCTCATGATTGCTTCAAACTGATTATAATTTTCGAGAAATTGAATTTTTCTTGTGAGCCTACACGCGCAAAACTTGTCTTCATTCGCGTCTGAGAATCGTGGCAGTTGATGTGAGTTGCTTTTTGAGGATTTTCAAATATCGTATCGATTGAAATTGTCAAGAAGTAGAAGAAAGATTATTATTCTCCAATGAAATCAGAGATAAGAAGAATTACTGCATTTGTTGTGTACGAAATCAAAATTAGCAGCATTTTGAGATAATTTTTGCTCAGAATTGTAGATTCTGATGCTGTAACTACACGAAGATGATGCATTCGGTTTGTGACAGTATAGCAGAAAATTATTATGATATATATATTTTATATTTTCCTGTCAACTACAGCATTGAAAATTACTTTAGCCGCGGGAATTGGATTATATATTTATTATAATAATATTGACAACGTTGCACAATGTTGCACAAAAATGTAATATGTTTATTCGCGACTGTTTTATTGCCAGTTTATTTTTTATTTTTATGTTTTGTGAACTAATTTCGGTTGATATAGAGAGAAAAAGAGAGAAAAAAAGAGAAAGACGCGCCAGAATCGTGTAGAGACACATTTCACATTTTACAATGTCGTAGTTCTGAATTCTCGTGAGAGATGACAAGCCTTATCGCGCCGTATTGTAGGTTGCTACTACACGAGAACAACGAGCGGCGGCGCTTGAGTGCGATATATTGGCTGCGACAGCGACTTAATGAGTCGCGTCTCGTGCAGAATTGGCTTACGGCCAGTGTATGAGTAATCCTCACTTCCCGCCGACATCCGCACATTAAATAAAACAAGGATGCGGTCTCCTCGTAATCTGCGGATCGTTCGAAGCAGGACCCTATTTCGCTAATTGTTTTTTTTTTTGCCGTATTTGTTACCCAAACGAAAGCGATGAAAAAAGAGATTAGAAGTATCTTCTTAAAATAAACTTCTTATTACTTGAAACGGTTGACACGCACAGTTTTGTATGCAGCAAAAAAACAGTTATTCTTAAGAATTACATATTAAAAAAAAATAATCAAAAGCTCTTCTCTCTCTATAAAAAATATTCTTTTAATAGTGAAAAAACTAAAAGTATTATTTTAGTGGTAAAAACAGTAAGATGTAAAGTCTCTCAAATACACTAAAAATTATATTACTTGCATTAAAAAAAATTTTATGTGAAACATTTATAATTATTATCGAATTGTGTAAGATTTTCTCTTCAATTGTATCAAACGTAATACGTGGTTTTAATGCATATGTTTATTTCATGGGAGCAGATACGCGTAACGCAGTAAATCAATATTTGTCGAATAAGGACATTGATCTCGCGCACTATAATGCATTTACATATTCGGAAACGGTTCATTTTGATAATATGATTTGATATAAATCATTTATATTGCTGTAAGATATTATAGTTTTTGCTGTAGAGTCATGTGCATTTTACGAGTCATAGATATTTCGGACATTTATATACCGATAATTTTATGACGTCGTCGCGTCGGAGTTCATTAAAAAAGAAATAATGTCTATTTTTTGTTTTTGTTGTATACTCTTCTATTCTATAATTATTGATTTTTTATTTTATATATGTAAAAAAACTTAATATTGTCGAAATTATATATTTTTGCTCAGATGAGTTTATGATTAATTATTTAATTATGTATAAAATATGTTTACTTTATATATGAGATGGTAAAATAATAATTATTATTTTAATATTACTATAATACACGAATTAATAATATATTTTATCTCATTATTGGTGAATAATAATGTTATTATTATTATTTTTCATAAATTTGTAAACACAAGTGCTGTTAAATAATTTTATTAATGTAAATTATACGATAACAAACATTCAAATACTGTTGTATTTAATAATAGAAAATGTTTTTACGTGTCATAAAGGTCGGTGACTCATTTCGGTGTAGCGGTGGTGTGCATACACCGAATATTCAAACGCAAAAGTCACTCCGATTTCCTTGAAGCTTACTGTCAAAGCGCGCATGAGTCGTCTTTTGCATCTTCTTTCTTTAAAAACCTGCGCTACAAGTAGAGCAAATCGATAAACTTCAAGACGATTTCAAGACGGAACAAAAGGAACAATCTTGCGACTCCAATTTGTTCGGGATCCCATCTGTACTTCGATTCTTTTGTAATCCCATCTGTGTCGATTCTTTTGTGTCAGAAGTTTTTGATTCAAATTATGTCTGATGAGCCTCTTATTGTGAAGTTTATGAAAGTAATCAGAAAAGTGATTTTTTCTTCACATTTCGATGTATCATGCGATACTTTTTCTGGTCGAGTTAGCCATTATGACAAGACGCTCTCTTTGAGAGGGTGCGAGAGTGTTCGTTCTGCCTCAGGGTCGTCGGCTTGACCCACGGTGGTTGCGCGTCGCGAGTATATGCATACGAGTAGCATCCACAAATTCTCCCATTGGCCACGAGCCAAAGTGACTCACCGCCTCTAGAAAACCCCCGCAGTTTATGTACTTCTGCGTTCGTTCGCTTTGCTTCAGTTCGGCGCGATCTTCACCAACGTACGGCCGAGAGAAACTCTGCACGTGCTGTTTATTTGTGAAGTTCGAACTTCTTTTGCTCTTCTTATTTGAGTTTGTACCGCGGCGAAAATCGCGCAATCCCGAATAGAAAAGTTCTTCTCGAACGAAGAGCACCTAGAAGAATCGTTGAAGTAAAAAAGAAGAGTTAGGGAGAAAACTGGAGATACGTATAAAAAGACTTATATCTATCATGGCTGCGCTCAATCGTGGTAAGACTGTGCAACAGGAGTGACGATTAATTACTAAGCACAACATAATCGTCACTGATTTTTTTTATTTATATATGTGTCATGTGTATTATATGAAGATTATTGTTCTAAAATTATTTTATGTATATTATGTAAATAATTATATATATTTTTTAATAGAAAACCTAATATTTGAATTACTATTATATTTCGGTATTATATTCAAATTTTAATCGCGTAAAGGACGCAAGAGTAAATTAATAACAGAGAGAAGTCTTAAAATTAAAGGTCTTTATTGATAGAAAATCGAATTTGCGTGAAAAAAAAAAAAACATTGACCCAATAGCATTGATAAAAATTGTTCGTACTGTTATATTACCTCTCGCTAAAACGAAATTCGATGATTGTTATTTTTTACCGATGAGCGCGCAGCGCAACGCGGCGCGTCGCGATCGCGAGGATGTGACATCGACGGGAAAAGACTAAACGCGCGCGTGAAAGCGAGCCAGTAGTGCGACGCGAGAACAGGACGTCGCGAGGAAAAACAGGGATGGCGCGCGGGAGATCGATATAAGTCGGGGTAGAACATATGTACAACGTGGTGGACTACGACGACGATCGCGACTACGACGAGAAGGCACATGACGGGAAAACATTCGGCGAGAGAGAGGATTTCCCCGTATTGATTTTCTCTCGAGTCCCCTTTCGGCTAGTCGCCGTGGACGTTCAGCTCGCTCTCGCTCTCTCGCACCCTCGCGTGGAGTTTACCGTATATATTTGCCGGGCCGTTAAGGCGATATCGATTTTTGACAGCTGCTCTCCGCAAAACGCTTCGGTCGCGTAATATACCGTGCACGAACGCCATACGTATCCGTACGTACAGTATAGGAAGGGTTCACCCCGACGTGTGCGAGCTCTCTCTCTCTCTCTCTTTTTCTATTTGTTTCTCTTTTCTTTCTATCTCCCCTTGTATAATACAACGCACGCAAAACACAATGTGACGTACGCACTCGTGCGAATACTATCCGCGCTTTTTTTTTTTTTTTCAGAAAACTCGTTCGTCGTCGCTCGTTGTCACAACGCAGTGAAACTCGGTCACTTCGTTCGGAGCCTTTGTTTTGTTTTTGCAAATATTCACATTTTCATTGAGAACTAATTGAGAATTACGTGATTACTCATCGGTTAACGTAGTAGTAAAGTTTGGTAGTCATACACATGCGTATTATGTTCCTGAACAAACGATTGTTCTGTGACAATTACTTGCAGTTTCTGTTTAACCCTGATTCGTGTTATCAGATGACTTTTTTTCTATGACGCTTCTTTGTGATGCTTTTCTGTGATGTTTCTCGCGTGACTCTTTCTTTTCTTCCCGCTCAGTGATTGTTTCTTTGACTCGCGATTATTGTAAAGAGAAGTTTCTCCGACGAACTGCTCGGTTCGTTGAGTTCTACTAGCTATGAGAATACTTGGTCTTTGTTATTGAAAACGGATGGTTCTGGAGTTCATTCGACAACAAACAAAGCGAACGTATGTAAACTGTAGTTTGGCAGATCAGTTGTTCTCCTTTGCGAAAGGAAATATAACGTTGCGGTGATGTGAAAACACTTAAAAATATATATTTACATTTTTTAAAATCATTATTTAATAGTAAAATAAAATATACTTGAAATTATATAAAGAGCGACGAAAAATTTAAGCACATTTTGAGAATTAAACTTTTTAGAAAAGAATCGATGTGTGTGCATACACGACAGAAGTATACATATGAAATAGAAGTATATATATATAAATGTACATATAAATGAAATTTTAAGATAACTGATAGATTTATCGTTGCAAGATCAATATAAACGTATTTAATGTATTCTAAAATCCACATTTACTTACAAGAGACATAATCGTACTTGACATTTTTCCGTTGTGAAGTAATCGATTTCAAATTATTCAAGAAAACCTGACAGAATAATTAAATCGAATTTATTAAGTTAGTCCGATGTCTCTCAGGAAGATTAATACGAGCACATAAACTATGAATGCTCGATCTCACTCTGTGTCTGCTACAGGTACGGATGATGGAGGAGCGGTTGGTGAAGGGTGAATACTGTCTAAGCACATCCGGCGTTGGTTCTCCGCCGCATTCGCTACCGTCTACTTCCGGTACGCAGAATGACAAGATCGAGGATGTCCATTGTGCCTGCATTTCGAAGTTAGAGACTCAAGTCGAGGAACAGGTATAGAGAAAAGTATTTTTATAAAATAAATTTATTTTTTTATTTAAATCCAGTTTTTAACTTGTCTTTTTTTAATTTAATCTACAAATATCGAAAAATTTGCGAAGTAAATTTTTGCTATTTAATATCTACGATCTAAAAAAATATCAAAACATATCTTTTTTAAAATTTTTTTAAATTTAAATAAATTGTTTGTAAAGATAAAACTAATGCACACCGTAATTCGTTTTTTGGTACATAAGATTACGATATCAGATAATTGCTCAAATGGGTGGGATCACTAAGCTATGTGTCATCTTATCAGTCACTGTCGCTTATTCACAGAGGCAACTGCGGTTACAAGATGCCAGGCAGGTAGAGGCAAAAGCAGCGAGAATAAAAGAATGGGTCACTAATAAATTGAGAGAACTGGAACAGCAGAATCAGCATCTTAGAGAACAAAACAATAAGTGCAATCAGCAACTAGAGTTGTTACGCAATCATATAACCAATATTGGACTTAAACCTCCCGTAAGTTTTTTTTTTTTTTTTGAAGTAATCAGTCATCGGAAAAAATTATAATGCAAAACTTTCGCAGAACTTTCCGTCAGAAAAACATATCAAGTTCTTCTAGCGCACTCGTCTGAGTTTTTAATGAGTAATTAAATAAATTTAGGCACCGACAAGAGCATCTTTGTCTCTGGAAGTGGATCCTACCTTGCGCATCGATCGTAGACGTTCAGAAAGTCTAGAAGGTACTCCGCAGACAGTGCCGGAGTGCGTGCAGAATATCGTTGCGGAGCCGCAAACGGGCACGAAGCATCGGAGACATTTATCCGCTTGCGGTACCATTCAACGAGGAATTGCAGCCACGAATATGGATTCAAGGTAACTCTCTTCCCGAGACCGTACCAGATACACACTTGCGCAAACGAACTGTTCTGTCTTATGTTATTCACGAAGCTCAAAAAACATTTCTATTTCGCTGCTCCTACGGAACACATTAAATGCACTCGTATGGCTCTCTCGTATTTCGATTCTCTTTAGGAGGCTTCATGACGTGATAGTGGCGCCCGAGTTTTCAAAATGTGGTACCCTGTAACGTCCTGAAACTTTCTGAGGGGACCCGTCGACCTTCCCCCCCTAATTACCTTCTTATTGTTACATACGTGTGTATACATATAATATATAACATATATGTTTATATATTATATACACATACATGTAAATATATTTATATTTTTGTATTTATTATATTTTATTTATATGGTTTATATATGTTATATGTATATATGTTATATGTTAAATGTTATATGTTATATGTTATATTGTGTTTATATGTTTCATAAAATTTTTAGATTGTCACAATACATTCTTAATTTTTATCGATCAGTGACAAAGTTTGAAAAGACACACACGTACATGACACATACGAGCATGATGTATAAGAAAACAGTTTCAATTCGTTTTGTGCTTTATGCTTGCCGCTTTTCTTTATTCTCTCTTTAGTCTGCTGTCTGAAGAACTGGCTGCAGCGGTGGAGAATCTGGTGATGTTGCCGAATATATCCGGTGTCTCGGAAGCGAGCAGGGACAGTGGAAGCTCGGAAGCGGTGCATGACTACGCCGAGATATATACACCAAGCCGCGAGGGCATGAATTGGCTGCAGGGAGGGCAAGGCCCTCGTCCACCGACCCCGCCGTTGCACAGATTTCCTAGTTGGGAGGCAAAAATATATCAGGTATGACATTAATCTTGGCTCTCTCTCCAAACGCGTGCATAAAAATAAAATTGTAAGATACTCTGCGTTAACACATCAACTCAAATTTCACTGTAATAAAATTCTTTGAAATGAAATTTTGTTTTCTATTAATTCGATTACTTTTAATTAGTAATTTGATTATAATTACTAATCACATCTCCGTGACGTTTTATAGGTAGCAGACGGCGGCCTTGGCATCGGTCCACCGACAAACGAGGAATCTGCACCTTCCACGATAACCAACACGAGTTCGTCGAAACATTCCCAGGCTACGGGACACAACTTGACAGCGCACAACTCTCAAGGCTATTGCGATATTTCTGTTCCAGTATACGCCACGGTCAAAGGTAGACTGCAAAAGTCAATTAAAGTTTTAAGGATAACTTTAAAAAAAATCGGAAAATATGTTTACTGTGTATAATATACATTTATACGTTTTTCAGGACGTGCTAGTCAAATCAGATCCATGCCTTTCGGTGACAGTTCCGACGACAGTTCGGACGGCGAAGAACACCCGAATCAAACCGAGACCAACACAAGAATCACGAATAGCTCGTCTGATAATACGGACTCCTCTCTCGGTAGTGGGAGCAGTCCTTCAAAAAGTATTAAAACAACTAGTAGTCTTAGCCCTGCAAAAAGAAGCTCAAGCGGCTCTCCTAGTAAAAGCGTAAAACGTGGTGAGTTTAATTGATATACTAGTCAACAATTGATTGATTAATAAATTAGTTAATAATTGATATATTAGTTTTTACTTTTATATATTTAATTTTTTTATAGTATATATACTATGGACAACATTTTTTTATGCGGTGAAATAAATTTAAGCGTCCAGATGTACAAAAACAAAATATTGCGTGTACAAAAATGTATTTGACATTCAACAACTTTAAGTTTGTTTTGATGCAGATACTTCTCTCGAGTCAGGATTGTCCGAGGATTACGCAATACCTCCTGACGCGCTCAGTTCGACATCTCTGGAATCGAGTATGCCTAGTCTGCTGATGCGCGTTTCCGGTGAAAGTCCAAAGAGACAGGAATCTCTGGAGAAGACAGGTCACCTGGCTAAGTTGGGCGGCAAGTTAAAAACGTGGCGAAAGCGATGGTTTGTTCTGAAAAACGGTGTGCTGACTTACTGGAAGAGTCAAAATGACGTTAATCGGAAACCTCAAGGTCAAATAATTTTGGACGAAGTATGCAGGTATGCATACGCAATGTAATAACTAGAATGATTTTAAAGAAACTCGTTTTTAGAAAAAAAAAAAGAACAAATTCGATCAAATATGAATATCTTTCAGGATTAATAGAGCTGAAGGCGCGGCCACTTTTGAAATAGCCACCGGTAAGAAGACGTATTACTTAACCGCGGACTGTATTGCCACGATGGAAGACTGGATAAGAGTGTTACAAAACGTGCAGAGGAGAAACGCGACGAAACTTCTGCTCAGCAAGGAAGATAACAAACCGACGATACAAGGTTGGTTAACGAAAGTGAAGAACGGTCACGCGAAGAAGTGTTGGTGCGTTCTCATCGGCAAGATGTTCCTTTATTTTAAGTGCCCCAGCGACACGGTAAGTGTCACGTGAATCATTTTCAAGATATATCTGAAAAATATATACCGATTAAACAAAAACCGTTCTAACACGTTTCAAGCGAACAAAAATCATTTTATGTTTTTAGAATCCCATTGGTCAAATCAACATGAGGGACGCTCGAGTAGAAGAGGTGGAGCACGTGTCAGATAGCGATAGCGAAGAGAGAGACGCCGAGTGTCCGCATGAAAGAACAATCGGTATCTTTCCGACGCATCAGGGACCGACGTATTTACTGATGCCGCACAAGCAGGACAAGGATAACTGGCTCTACCATTTGACGGTGGTATCCGGAGGCGGACCGAGCGCCGGTACACAGTACGAGCAACTAGTGCAGAGATTAATGGAGACCGATGGCGATCCCAGCTGCGTGCTGTGGCGACATCCTTTACTGCTGCACTCAAAAGAAAGCATCACGAGTCCGCTGACTAGTTTAACTTCTGAATCCCTGCAGACCGAAGCCATAAAGCTCTTCAAGGTTGATATTTTTTTTTGTGATGAATTTATCTGCAATTTATTTTGTCTTAAATTATAGCAGAAAACAAAAATTACAACTAAACTTAAAAATTACGATCAAAACAAACAAGTCTGATACTTTGTGTATGATAACTTTATGCAATTCTCGTATTCAGGCCTGTCAGCTGTTTATGTCGGTGGCAGTAGAGCAAGCAGGTATCGACTACCACGTGGTTCTAGCACAAAACGCATTGCAACAATGTTTAGATCAGCCTGAACTTCAGTCTGAATTTATATGTGCACTGGTAAAGCAGACAAGTCGTCACACGCAACACCGTTTGGGCGTACAGGTAAAAAAGGCCGCAAGACTTGTGTCACTGGGTACTGCGCGCGTTGTAAGTCCTGCTTATTGTTTAACAAAAACACTTAACCATTCTGTACCATTTTTTAAAGTTAAAGCGATATACTCATCGATCGTTCATTTATCAAAACTCTCGGAGATGGATCTCATCTTTGTCTCACATGCATCATTGAACCGTTTCCGGTATCATTTTTTTCTCATATTTCTTTCGACGTGCGGAAAATGGTACACACCGAGTACGCTTAGTCAAGTATTATGATTAATTTATTCTCCTCTGGCCGTAGAAAACATCAAGTAGTGGTTTGGCGGGAAATGGTCTAACTCGGAACTCGATGTAGCACTTAATAACTCGACAAGAAAAAAAAAGCGTGTTGCTGCTAATAATAATACTTGACCAAGTTCGAAACGACTATTTTAATTTTAACAAATTTATATATTGACACATTTAATTCTAATTTGCCGCTTTAAGTGTGCTGTCTTTTAGATTCTCACTTTATTTCGGTCGCATGCGTTTACAATTTTGTTACATCACGATGGTGTTGAGTTTCGTTTTACTTTCACCATATATATTTTAATATTTATATACATCATATCCAATCAAGTTACCCTAACGCCCTTCATGTGAGCCGAACATATTTCGACGATTCATAAATTATATTATAGTCGATCATATATCATATCGCATAGTATATATACATATATATATAATATATAATTTAATATATAACTTAATATATATAATATATAATTTAAATATATATAATATATAATTCAAATGAGAGATCCGTCAAAATACGTTCCGCGCTACACACACACACTTGCAGAATGGTATGTTGGTGTACATGAGGACACACACAGAAAAACTTTTTTAGATCTTTTTCTAATTTGCCATGAGTTCCTTTTTTTTACAATAGTTGCAATAGTTACTTGGATATTCTGTTTGAATGCTGCTTAGAAATATAGACTTTTTATCACTGAAATAGATTAACAAATGAAACACTCTTATAATCCTACAACTTTCCTTAGATCGCATCTCGAGCGTCAATCAAAAGACAACGAAAAGATGTGTATAAAGACATAAATATTATGAGAATGTCTTTTATAGACATTTTTCAAACGTCTTTTGGATTTTTATATCACTTAGATTTTTTCTTATCCGTTTTCCAATTTCCCTTGCTTCTTATTTACATCCTTTCCCTCTCCTTTTATTTACATCCTGTTTTCCTTTTAAATTGATTTAAAAAAAAAAAAAGGATACATGGTACGTAGACACATACATTGTCCTGAATATTGGATCGCAAAGTTGCGAAGAAAACGGCCTTGTTCGTCTTATGTAACTTCAATGAATGTAAACGCAACGCTTTACTACAGCTGGTACGGTAAACTCACGCGCTTTAGGAGCCTAAGAGCTTTTTTTCATTTACGTATTTTAATTTTTATGCGATTCTAAGGATTTATATATCGAGATATACGCGTTTTTCATCCGATTAACATAATGTAGAGTGGTGTATTGGAATTTCGATTTCTCGTGCTTTTATTTACTAACGATAACATGGTTCGATTAATCTATTGTTTAGGAGCACAAATTTCCTAGTAATAAAACGATTTTTTTTTGTATTTGAGAAATCGCAGTAAATTAATAATAAAAAGAATTAATAGAAAGTTATCGTTTCATAGTTGTAAATTTTAAATCTCGTAAAGAGTATTTTTGTCTTTTTCGTTTTTATATTTTTTTCTATTTCAATTTTACGCGAGTTTATAACGCGAGAGTGATTTAAATTTTCGAGAAAGTATTCTGTTTTTATTTTGTGTTATGTATTTATATAACATTTTTTTTAATACTTGAGAGAATTGCACACATATTATTTATACATATATGTATACAATATTTATACAATTTTTATAAAGCAAATAAGTGTTCACTTATCAGTAAATCAAATATGATAAAAAAGAATTGAAAGGTAACTAAAAACGGCAACGTATTGTACATAGATGAATATCGAGATGTGTCATCATTCAACTTGCGCGTGAGTAAAACGTATCGCGTTTACCTTTGGACAATGAAAAATATTAAGCTAGGATCGGCCGAATATATATAATACAGGGACCGTAGTAGTATGCCAGCATACCATTGCAGCAGCTCCTCCTCTGCGCCACGCAATCGCTCTTCACCTGCGATACGCAAAGTCCCGCGGCAAATGGCAGCGGTGAAAATGCGGACGCGCAATCAACGGCCTCGACTTCTCACAGTCCTCCGCTCACGCAGGGCCACTCAACCTCCACTATCTTGGACTGCAAAACTAATCCCGCGCAGTACGTGCTTATCCAAGGGTGGCAACTCCTGGCGCTCGCTGTCTCGCTCTTCTTACCTAGGAACAACCGGCTACTGTGGTACCTGAAATTGCACCTGCAGAGAAACGCCGACACCAAGTGAGTGACAGCCGATCCAAGCGAATCGACCATTGTGGAGAAAAGAAATTGATAGAAATTAGAAAAGAGCGAACAAACATGTTTGAAGAAGAGAAGAGACTTTTTACACACATACACTTTTCCGCAATGATCGATTCAATTTGTTTAGTGCTGTTATTTATCTTGCGTCACGTTACATTACGTTGTTACATCAGAACGGAATGCGGCAAATACGCGGCTTACTGCGAGAGAGCCTTGGAGAGAACTTTACAGAATGGCGGTAGAGAGGTAAAACCCTCGAGAATGGAAGTGCTGTCAATCCTGATGAAGAATCCGTATCATCATTCGCTACCGCATGCCATACCCGTTCACTTTCTAAACGGCACGTACCAAGTTGTAAGCTTCGACGGTAGCACGACGATAGAGGAATTTTTGAACACCTTGAATCAGGAGATCGGCTGTAGAGACGTTCATCAGTCCGGCTTCACGCTATTCAGCGATGATCCGATCGAAAAGGATCTCGAACACTTTATTGATCTACAAGCGAAGGTTTATAAAATTTCTATATTTATATACTCATCGCTTATATGTAAACTTTGTATATCATTATATTAGAATTATTCGAATCTTTTAATTAGTTCGATAAGACTCGATAAGACTCGAAACTTACTTATGTGAATTGTATCTCAGCTATGCGACATCATCTCGAAGTGGGAAACCGCGTTACGGGAGAAGGGCTCGGGAAAATTCGAGAACACCAGAGTGATACAATTGACATACAAATCACGCTGCTACTGGCGGCAAGCTGCTAAAATGGAAACGGACAAAGAAAGACTTCTGTTATGCTATCAAGTGAATCAACAAGTTGTGCAAGGAAAATTTCCTTTGAATCGTGAACTCGCTTTCGAATTAGCATCATTGATGGCACAGGTACGATTTGTAACATGTGTCGGATATGTGTTACGTTGCACACTTAATTACGTTAATTTAAACAATTTATAAATAATAATATAAATTTTACAGATTGACTTCGGGGAATATAACAATGATAAGGCACGCGGTAGCGGTGCCAATCCGCACCATCTCGTACTACAAGCGTTGGATAAGTTTTATCCGTTACGCTATCGAACCAATATTACTGCCGATCAATTGAGGTGAATGATCAACAGTTTCCTTCAACAATATATATATATATATATATATCTATTTGTTTAAGTATCATAAATTTTCTTTTCTATTTTACGAAATGTTATTTCTCCACACCAGAGAATTGCAGGAAAAGCTGCAAGAAAAATGGATCGCTTTAAAAGGACGTAGTGTATTGGATTGCGTTCGTATATATCTCACATGTACCAGAAAGTGGCCTTTTTTCGGAGCTACCTTGTACCAAGCAAAAGTATAAATAAACAATAATTTATATAATATAATTTCAAAAATAAAGTCCGTGATGATTCGATGATGTAATTTGACTTGATTATAAAAATGACTTTTCAGCTGAAGCAAACCGACCCTGTAACTGTTTGGATAGCAGTATCTGAAGATAGTGTAACGTTGCTCGAGTTACAAACAATGGCGGTCATGTGTCGTTACAATTATGCAAATATAGTGACATTCGGTGGCTGCTTAGACGACTTTATGCTTGTCGCTTGTCCGGATGAGGGTGCGGCCGAGCAGAAACTTTTGTTCGCACTTTCTAAACCTAAAGTGCGTACACATAACATTTATACGGGTTGGAAAATGTTCATGTGTTTACAATTAACAATTTTCAGATTTTGGAAATAACACTACTGATCGCTGACTACATGAATGCTCTCGGCCACGCATTACCGGGCACTCCTCAAATGAATACTCTAACTCGCAACGGATCACACCGGTCTATCAAATCCACTTTGAGACCCGCGACTGGTCGGTGAAAAAAGAAAATTTCTAATTTTCCTTTTTATAGCTCTCATAACATATTACAAGTAAAAAATCTTCTTTAAATTTGTTTAATACGAGAATGGTGCCTAGTAAACATAATTTTTTACAGGTTCAAGCTGTCTTCCAACTCAACCTGATATATTGAAATCGACACCAGATCACCAAAGACCTTAATAAAAAAAAAGTCTGGGCGCGTTAGTTTTCGGAAATACGATGGGATTTCTTGTGTACGCGCGCGCGGAAAGTTTAAGTACGACGTATATTTTATTTTGTCGTTTGTATATTACATAAAAACAACATAAAAGTGCAGTATTAGTATTGTATACACTGCGGCGCAATCGCAGTTTATGGCAGGTCGAATAATATTTACGTTTATGTCGTGTATTTGTGTAAATTAGTATCGACACTTGTAAAACCGCATCTCTCTGTGTAAATACTTCATACGGTAAAATACAACAAGCTATCCACGCGAAAAAAAAAACGTGCAGATGGCTTGAAAGAGTGGTGACTGAAATCGAATCAAATCGATTTGCAACTGCCTAAATTAGTACGCGCGATTACAACATCGAATAATTTGTATCTTGCTGTTAAGTATCAAGCTGAGATTTTTGCTACCGTATTTATATACCAAATTAAAAACTATATATATATATATATATACACAAAAAATAAACGCGTAATAAAAATATTACGTGAACGATGACGTATTTACTTATTGTGTATATATTAATCGGGGATATATATTAAATGTTTAGAGATATAACGGAATACGTTTTTTCCTAATTTTTTAATAAATCGAACTTAATAAAAATGTTGCGACCATGCGTCGTCGTTATGTTATATAATTTTCAAACGCACATTCTTCTACTTCCAGTCGAAGTTTTCGCATTGCTATCCGATTTGAATCAGAAATTTCATTTCATTGAATTTGTTAGATTTTATTTTTATTAAAAAGCATGTACGCTTTGTTTTTTGTTACAGTTTTAAAAGCAGTTTATGTAATCTAGTTAATTTAATTAAAAATTTTATTATATGTCTGCATTAAAGGTGTTTAAATTTATTAAAAAAAAGAAAAGAAATAAAATGAAAATTTTAATTTAATCGAAAGTTTATGTGCTCAAAAATGAATAAGAATGTAAACTCTTTAATTTGGTGTGATATAACGATCAACAAACGAAGAAAAATCCGATATACTGTTATATCGACTTCGATAACAGCTAGTCTCGTATCTGATATTTAAGATGTAAGGTAAGCTACTGCGTTTCTTTTTTTGTTTCGTACAAGAATACGACCAAATAGATGTAATAATATTGGAAACGTAATTTATTATTGAAAATAATTAGCATATCGGCGTGTTTCTATGCGCGTATTTACGTATGCAACACCATATTAAAATTATACGTGACGGTCATAAGTAATGTCCATATATCGATAATAAAAGAAGTTTTGTACTCGTGTTCCGACGTTGTGTCCTACGTAACTAATAAACGTCTTCCTTTTAGCGATTACGATCGGAGTTGAGAGTAGGGCTTTCGTGCAATACGTACAAAACTTCTGCGGTTTTGTAATTTTCGAGATTACGTATTAATCACGCTTCTATCTCGAGCACGTGAAACAAGCTCGAATACAGTGTGAAAATCTCAATTTCCAGAATCTCCGTAAAATGTCTGAAAATCTCAAAAAGCGTCTTTACGATTTTACGATCTTCGGACACGATGTGTGTCTATGTTGTCCAGAAGAAGTATCGACGAACTAAACGCGTTATAATCCAGCTTTATTTGGCACATCGTAAAAATCGTTTGTACGGATAATTCGAACCTCAGACTACTGAGAGCAGTACAAAGATATGCAAGATCGACATTTTGTCCTTAATTTTTTATATATCGCGATATATATATATAAATATATATGTATAGTGAATGCTATATTTACGTGGGTAACTAGGCACCTTATCATGGACGTAGTTAAAGAGTCGTACGCGTAACTATATTCATTCATTCGTGTAAATATATATCATGAGAACTTGCGTTTCTAAAGGTAGTAGAATCAAAATAGGCAGCTATAGTAATTTACACAATCGAGCTCTATCTGGATTACATTCTTATCGAGCCTATCTTGTTTTACATTTATATTTATTATTTATTCGTACGAAAAGAAAACAGAACGAGCGATATGTGCGGAGAGTATTGTGTATTATTGTACAGAGGAGAACAAATAAACTGCACATTAATACAAACTATTGAGTACATGTCAATGAATTGATCACTGAACTCTACTTCTGATTAAAGAGAAATTGCATACAGTTTGATAAGATAGAAAAAACATAAAAAGATAATTTTAAACACATTGCATTGTAATCATTGCAGATTTTTAATTATGTGATGTATGTGTGTGCATATATATATATATAATTATATATATATATATGTATTTATATATTTATACAATATCAATTTACTCCGTTTAAGTCCATCCTTTTTGCACAAAACTTGAATAGAAATGTTTATTTTGTACACAGAGATGACTTCTGTCAGTCCACTTCTTCTGGTCTCACAGGATGTGTTAATGGTATCATAGATTTTTTTTTCACATCTCTGGATAACGCTTTCCTCATGTCTGCAAGTAATGATAACTTTATCTTCACATAAAAATGTTTTGAGTTCTTTGGAAAAGAAAAACTCACCATATGCATCTTCGTCTGGATCTCCATTGTAATATTCTAATACTGTTCTATATACAATATATCCTAATTGTTGATACATTGTAATGGCTACTTTATTGCTCACTCTGACAAAGAGATCCACAAAATATGCTTGTTTTCTAATTTAAACAATCAGTAAGGAAATATTAAAGATGGTGAAACTTTTATTTTCATTTGAATAATTCTTTATTCAAATAATAAATATTAACTTACTTTTCCGACACTTCCTCGAGAAATTTCATCAACATTGCGGCAAGACCTAGTCTTCTGTAATCTGGAGAAACTGTGAGAGCTGTTACGTGACCGTGCCAGTTTTCTCCATGACCTTCTGCCTTTCCCATGACTTTGTTTGATGATTTTTAGATAACAATATAGTAACTTTAAATTGCAATAAAAAGAAGTACACTTTATTATGAGACAAACACACTAAATTTGTAAATAAACTTACTATAACCCATAATTTCACCACTCGGAGATTCTGCTACTTGAATATATTCTGGCCAATGTGCAAGATAATGCATATAAAACGACAATCCATACTAAATAGAAATGTAAAACATAACACTAAGGACTGCATATAAAATTGTTAAAAACTATCTAAATAATACATAATTTGTACTCCAAAATCTTAGTTTATCTTGTTTTTAACTTTTTGACAGCCATATAGTTTTATATTTAGATAAACTTTTATTTAATTAATTTTATGAATAAAATAATTTTACAATAATAACCACTTTGTTTTGTAAAATTATTTTATCCTTATGCTACAAAATTTTTTGTTATTGGCATAGCTTTTATGTTAAAATATAGAAGTATTGTTTTTTCTGTACAAACATACAAATTACATAATTCTATACTAATATCAACGTCTACAATTTATTAAAGGATACTGTTTCTGTAAGAGGATCCAGATTTCTAAAATTGTAAAACAAGTACTTATTTTCAAATAAATTATCTTTTTTTCACTAGATATTTTAGGTTAGATTAAGAAACAAACTATTAAATGTATATTAAAAACTTACACATTGTTAAATTTAAACAGATCATTGCACGTAAAAGGCCTCAGTGTCGTCATTTTGAATTGTTTCAAGATTTTCTATTATATATTAGGTGACTTTTTCTTTTCAGGTACTGCACTAAAATTGAGCAAAACGTAAGAAACCCTGACGCTGACAATTTGAAATCTATAGAACAGTTGTGGTTTAGTTGACCAATAAGTGTAGTCCATAAGCCTTTCTGGACGTGTGCTTAGCCTACACTCCAATATTCAAAGGTAGAATAAAAACAGAGAAAAGACTGAGAGTGGCCAGGGCCATGTGAAAAACTGTAACAGTCGAATAGTTAGGTTCACATTTGGATTGATTAGATTAGGGTTAGGTTAAGTTCACAACCTGAACGGTTTGGATATGAACCTAACCCTAACCGATCGAGATGTGAACTTAACCGGCCAGGTTGTGAATTTAATCGACCAGGTATGAACCCAACCGGTCAGAATGTGAACGTAAACAACTGGGATATGGAATAAAAAAGATTTAATATTTCTTTTATTTAACATAATAACAGTACATGAAAATGAATATTATCTGAATTCACAGTTTTAACACTATTATATGTAAATTGAAAACAAAATGGACCTTATTGCAAATTTTAAAACACAGCTGAAAATCTGTGACAGTACTTATTGATTCACATAGAGAAGAACGGTACCAGCCGGATTGTAAAACACTGTTACTTCTCTTTACGTTGCGCTGTTAGACTGTCATGCATGCTTGTCACTACAGCTTCTACCAGATCCGTAATCACCACACCGTTAATGTCAATAAAATTAGCAACAGATTTAGTTACAGTAGTCTCGTTAATAGCGCCAGAAGATGCACTCCTGACCGACAACACCAGGTTGTATTTGTCATCATACTTTTTTAGATAAGAACTGGCCTCCCAGATCAAATCAGGATTGAAACCTGCTGGATCTCTGAAAATGAGAGTTGATACAAATTTTTTTCAGGTTTTTATTGGACATTTAGTATTAAATGTATCAAAAAACTTTACTTAATGATATTAAAAATTATATTAATGGTAAATGAATAAAATTTATAGAATAACAGCTGGATCTAAATGCAATGAGTTGAAAAAGAATAAAATTAGTTAGGAAATAGATTTACCTTTGGATCATAACTACAAATATTCCTTTTTCTTTATATGTTGTATATAATGTCAGAAGTCCCATTAAAAGGAAATACAAAGAAACACAAGCTACTAGAACAGGCTTGGAAGCGGGAAATGGATATAAATAATCGCACAACAATGCTACAATAGCTATTGTAACAGCGATTCCACAGAGTGCTAGCCTTCCATCGAGAAGAGCAAAGTTTTCTATATAATTATATTTCCTTATAAGTACATCCTTGACTGCATCGTCCAAAGCATTCTTAACAGCGGAACCATCCCACTTATTGATTTTTATAACCTGCACAAAGTATATAAAAGATAGTTATACAGTCTTTTTGAAGAAAGATATATATATGTACATATTTTATGTTCAAACTATGACTGGAAAAAAGTAAAAATGATGAATTCATTAAATATTTCTATTAGAACATATCACTCCAAATGTTGACGTACGTGGCATACACAATATGACCTAACCTGACATTCGGTCGGCATATTGCGGATAAGACAATCAAAGAACCATTTATCACACATCGATTACTTTTTGTGCGGAGCATATGTGTATTGTCTGTGTACAAAAAAAAAAATTATTTCAGTTATTGAAAAAGTAAACTTACGGAATTGTCTGTTGCAACCATTGCGAGACTATAACCTTTTACTTTTTCTCACTTCCAATATATGTATTAAATTGACAAACGCAAACACACAAGTGCCAACAGTAATAAAGAGATAAAGAGAGATATTTTGATTGGTTGTTGAAATTTAGTGATTTCTACGGAGTTTATTTGCCAATAGCTGAAATATTTTTGTTCAGGAACACGCGAAATAACTTAAACGATAAGAAAATCAACCAATCACAAATTGGCATTGTTCTAATTAGCTTACATTTGAGAGAGAAGACTATTTGTGATTGGTTGATTTACTTATATGATTTTACAATCGGCTTTATTCGATCTCGTTTACATAAAATCGCACGGTCACAAATGTTCCCACAATTGCATCAAAGGGAAAGTTCAGTTTGAACTGGTGACAGCACTTGCTCGTGACAGTTTTCAAGTCAATTTAAAATCTCGTCTCGAACTTAGCGGTCAAAACTTGTAAAAGACTCAAAGAAGTTAGAAAGCTGATGTGATGGTGACAGTTAATATCGGTTTGTTTGTGTTAACATTGAGGAATAGAACAGCAATTTTGAAAAAGAACCAAGTTTTACGAGAAGAAAACAAATAGTGATCCGTGTATTTAAATATTTCAGAGTTTTGTCGAACAGAGAATAAAAAGAAAAATAAAAATCAGAGAATGAATCCAACTTCAAAATGAATTTCGAAGACTATCTATATATTTCCGAAAGCTGACGATAGAAAAAAAATCTACGTCTAATACTCCGAAAAGGAATGATTTTATCATCAAAAAGTCAAAATCGAAGGAAAACGAGCAAAATGGTCATTTCGAAAGATAAACACTCTGGTGTAATTGATAATATACAGAAATGTAAAAAAGTTAATAGTCGAAATCTTCGTAAAAATAAATCTTCTAATAAAGATGAAAATAAAATAGATGACAGCGATGTTGCACTTTTAACAGCCAGCAATGGCACATATGAAAAAGAAAGCTCGAATGTTATTTTGTCACCAGCTGTTACTACTCAGGATCGATGTAAATTGACATCATGGAATTTACCACCAAATATTCTTCAAGTATGATATAAATGTTTTGTAATGTAAATACTTTGTCGCAAGTATCTTATATATGTCTTTATGTTTAATTGTTTTGTCACTTCACAAATTATTATAAAAATATTTTTAAAATTTAAATAAATTAAATCTTTGTTATTACTTGTATATATCGTAAGATAAAATTTTTCTATTTTTGATATTATATAAATTACAATATTTATAATAAAGAACTTTATAGATTATATAGATTTAATAATCACATTAATTGTTATATTATTATTAATTTTTAGAAATATATAGCTCGTGGAGTAGGACACATGTTTCAATGGCAAGTGGAATGTTTGTCAAATCACCAAGTAATGCAAGAGAAAAAAAATCTTGTATATTCAGCACCTACATCTGCAGGAAAAACTCTTGTTGCTGAAATTCTTTTGATTAAAACTGTTTTAGAGAGAAAAAAGAAAGTAATCTTTATCTTGCCATTTGTTTCTGTTGTTAGAGAAAAGATGTATTATTTCCAAGTAAGATATAATTAAATTATTACACATACATACAGTAAAAACATTAAAATATTATAAATATCTTGAGTTTGATTTGATAATTTTTTTAGGATTTGTTGTCTGACATTGAGATAAGAGTGGAAGGATTTATGGGAGGATCAGTACCACCTGGAGGATTTGCTGCTACTCATGTTGCAGTAGCCACTATAGAAAAAGCAAATTCTTTAGTAAATCGCCTAATGGAAGAGAATGATTTGAGTAGTTTAGGTGCAGTGATAATAGACGAATTACACTTACTAGGTGATCCAAATCGTGGCTACCTTTTGGAGTTGTTGTTGACAAAGTTAAAATATATGACTCTTCGGTAAGCTTGTTCACATATTTGAACTTAATTGTATACTTAATTTAAAAAAACACAAATAGAATTCTTTGATTATAATTATGTGTGATTATAATTATTAATTATGTTTTAACATATTTTAGTAATGATGATATCAATATACAACTGATAGGTATGTCAGCTACATTGCCAAATTTACCTTTGTTAGCCAAATGGTTGAATGCTGAACTTTACAAGACTGAATTTCGTCCTATTCCTTTGTATGAGTATTGCAAGGTAAACAAAACAATTATACTAGAGATTAATTTTTATTTTGAAATAATTTTGTATTTATAGATAGGATCAAATATATATGACAACACATTGAATCTTGTCAGAAAGTTAGATGAAGTGCCAGAATTAGGGAGAGATGCGGATAATATTCTACAGCTTTGCATTGAGACAATAAGTGACGGTAATAGTGTGTTAATTTTTTGCCCTACGAAAAAATGGTGTGAGAAACTGGCGGAGCAAATTGCCACAACTTTCTTCAAGTTAGGTCTGTTTTACTAATCTCCAATCAAAAGAAATCAAAATTTATTCATATTATTTATCCTTTTCTTCTCGACATAGCAATGTTATTTTATTATTAAAAAAATTTTATTATTTAAGAAAATTGCAAAAAATATAAAAAAGTGCGATTAGAAACAAGAAATCTTTATTTTATACATTATTATATTGTTTTTACGTTCGGACAGGTTGCGAAGATACTAGCATCGGGAAAATGTTAAAGAAAGAAATCAAAACCGATTTAATTCATGAAACTTTAGAGCAACTGAAACGCAGTCCAAGTGGCTTGGATAATGTTTTAAGAAGTACAATTTCGTTTGGCATTGCCTTTCATCATGCTGGACTTACGATGGATGAGCGCGATATCATAGAAGGATCTTTTAGGTGATGATCGCTTTGATTTTCTTTTGTTTTCAGCTAATACAAATCTTTTGTTGAGTGTTATTGTTAACTTTTGTGCTATTTTCTTATTCTAGAACAGGATCTTTGAGAGTACTTGTAGCAACGTCGACATTGAGCAGCGGCGTAAACTTACCTGCCCGAAGAGTAATTGTGAGATCGCCTCTGTTTGGCGGCACTCCGTTAAATACTTTAACTTACAAACAAATGATAGGACGTGCTGGTCGTATGGGAAAAGACAGTGCAGGTAAAATACTGTATCGAATAACACAGAATTCGATTGTAATACAATTTTAATAAAAGGACTTTTAAAAAAAAGTTTAAAAATAGTCACCAATAAGAAATATATATAATTAAGAGTTATAGTTGTTTTCTGAATTAGGGTAACAAACACGGAAATATTGAATCCATGATAATAATAATAATAATAAAAATATTTAACTTTTCAGGAGAAAGTATACTAATGTGTAATCCGAGCGAACGCAATGCAGCCATGTCATTGCTTTCCGCGACTTTGGATCCGATTGAATCTTGTCTCAACGATTCTACGCTGCTAATAAGAGCGCTGTTAGAGGCAGTAGCTAGCGAAGTTTTATATACGTTGGAAGATTTAGAATTATATATTAGTTGCACTTTACTGAGTTTAAGTGACCAGTCTGACATACGAACTTTCTCCAATGAAGCGATGAAGTTTTTATTGAATAATGAATTTTTGTTGTAAGCACTTTTATTCAATTACTACAACAAATATATTCAGTAGACCTAAAATGTTCAGTTTTTTTTGCAATCTTTGAATATCAATAAGTTTCTTAAAATTAAAAATTAATTATATGTGTTAATACATACGTATAACTTATGTGTATTATGTCATTCGTCACGCAGATTACAAACCACAGAACGCGAATCTAGATGGATAGCAACAGCGCTTGGAAAAGCATGTTTGGCTGCATCTGTACCGCCTCGAGAAGGACTGATTCTATTCGAAGAACTCCAGAAAGCTAGAAGATGTTTTGTTCTGGATACGGAGTTGCACGTAATATATTTGGTAACTCCACTTTCTCCTGGATGTCAAATCGGCACTGTCGACTGGATGACGTTTCACGAATTATGGAACAGTATGTCAGAAAGCGAACGCAGAGTTGGAAAACTCGTGGGAGTGGAAGAACGCTTTGTGATGCAAGCCATTAGAGGAGTTGTCAGGCCCGGAAAATCGGTAATTGCTATTTTTCCGAGGTAGCGGGTTTTTTTTGTTTTTTACTAGCACAACACAGGCGCGCGCTACGCGCACGCTATTGTTATTTTTATTTAACGTGTTGTCAGTGAACACAACCTGTCACCGCGATGACAGATAGTATATACGTCTTATAAGCCATATAATACACATATGAGAAATGTCAGAAATAACGCATGAAAATCAAACTCAAAAAATAGTGAGAGAGAGAAGTGGAAAAACAACACGTGACTAAAGTCAGTGACCTCGCCGCGGTCGCACGACTGCGGTCAGTAACCCCGCCAAGGTCGCGCGCCCGCGGTCAGTGACCTCCCCCCACCAAGGCCGCGCGGCCGAGGTCAGTGCCCCGTCAAGGCCGCGCGGCCGAGGTCAATGACCCCGTCAAGGCCGCGCGGCCGAGGTCAGTGACTTCACCGCAGTCACGCGACCGAGGTCAGTGACCCCCCCCCCACCAAGGCCGCAGGCCGAGGTCAATAACCCCGTCAAGGCCGCGCGCCCGCGGTCAGTGACCTCCCCCCACCAAGGCCGCGCGGCCGAGGTCAGTGCCCCGTCAAGGCCGCGCGGCCGAGGTCAGTGACCCCGTCAAGGCCGCGCGGCCGAGGTCAGTGCATCATTTTTAAAAACTCTATAATGCAAATATTTCTTTTCTGCATTGTAGTTGAACATACACAGAAGATTTTACAGTGCGTTGGCGCTGCATGATTTAGTGAAAGAAGTCCCGCTTAACGTAGTTTGTAAGAAGTACAGCTGTTGTCGTGGAGTGTTGCAAACTCTGCAACAGTCTGCTTCCACGTATGCGGGTAAATTGACTTAATAAATCATGAATGATCTACTTTGTAGAAATATTTTTTACGACAAAAGTCGCTTCTTTATTTCAGGTATGGTCACACAGTTTTGCAAACAGTTGGGATGGGATTGTATGGAATTGTTGGTGAGTCAATTTCAAACGAGATTGCAGTTTGGTGTCTGCCGAGAATTGTTAGATTTGCTGCGTTTGCCGATGTTGAACGGCTTACGAGCAAGAAGTCTGTACAAACAGGGAATTACATGCGTAGCAGATCTGGCCGTTGCCAATGAACTTAACGTCGAACGCGCTCTCTACAATGCTCTTCCTTTTGAAAGGTGGAAATGAGGCTATTCGCGTGTTACTTATGTCAAACGAGTTGCATTTACAATATATTTAAATATTTCTTTACATATATACATTTTAGTGAAAAAGAACACGAAGGAGAATATGCGCTCGAAACAGAAAAGAGAAACAAAATGAGAACAGTATTTGTTACTGGACGAGACGGTCTCACGCCGCAACAAGCTGCAATTTTATTAGTTCAAGAAGCGCGCATGTTAGTTCAGGTTGTAATATGTTTACATTTTATAAGCGAAATCTAGTTAAATTGTATATATCGAAATATATAAAATAAAATGGATATTATTTACAGAAAGAATTGGGACTTGAACAACTGCCGTGGGAACAGAATGAACGATCTTTACAAGTGAATACTTACTCAGGAAGTGCTGAATCCAGCATGAAAGAACGAAGTCAGACAGAATTGACTTTAAGAAATTTAGAACGCACTAAGACAGACACTTTAATTGCGCAAATCTCGGCACATGAAGAGCTTGCGAATAACAAAAATACAAGTAATGAAGAAGTTAATTTGAAACAGAGTTTATGTAAAGAAATCAATGAGGCCGGTGTATCTGACAAGAAAGAAACAGTATCAACACATTTAGATGAAGTTATTTTGTCACCCGACATGTTAGAAGATAATAAAGATTTATCTTTTTTTCTCGATTTGAGTTCTCCTGATGTGACTTTAAAAAATGAGCAATCAAATACTGAAAACAACAGAATTACTGAAACTAGTGGTTTTAAGATAAAAAGAGGTAACAAAGATTTGCAAAATCCTGCTTTAAATTTTGACGATAGACCTAACAAAAAGTCACGGATTTCCGACGATAATGCGGTAGATAAAAATATGAGTGGATCTATTTTAAACGATTGTAAGTCGTCGAATTCGAGAAGTCCCAGTTTATTCGATGATAGTTTGAATCTCGACACTCAAATGTACAATATTCTCGAACAAAATGTCATGGATATTGCACATTTGGAAGATTCTAAATTATCCGCGAACAAATTGAACGCCACAAATACGTCACAGAAAACATCTGCAAATTTAAATGCCAACAATAATCAAGTAAGCAAAGAAAATGTAAAAACTGTAGAGACGGTGCATTTGCAGTCGAGAACCAGTATATTGTCGTGGGGTGATGATTCGTGGAATTGCACAGAAGGACTGCTGAAGCACATGGTTCAAGGTAACGATCAAAACGGTAAGAATAAACTGCGTCAATCCAAAAATGCCGTAAACACACCTAAATCCACCACGTCGCAATATACAAATCACAAAAGTGCCAAGTCTTGCAATAAAAAAAGCAATAAAAAAAGCGCGCATAAAACAACGGGGGGTATTATACAGTGTCTTGCTGTAATCAAGGAAAAAATACCGCATAAACCTAAGTTACCAAAAGTAGCAGAAGTGGAGTTTCCTGCGGAAAATCAAATTATTACGGAAGAAAAAATATCCGAAGATTTACACAAAACCGTGATGGACGATATCATTGTTGATTCACAGCTTTACGAAACTCCTTTCAGCGAAAATCAAACGAGAACAAAGTTAGAAAAGATACGTAAAATGCGTTCTCAGAAGATTTCAGAGGAAATAATAAACGAGGAAACAAATAATTGCTTGAACTCTTCTACAAGAAATATAGCGGGTGGTATAATAGAAAATAAGACAGAGCCACAAGAGAAATTTAAAGGAATTTTTGCACAAAATTTATTATTTACTGCAAATTGCAGTTCCGACAATGTTGTATGTAACTCTGAAGATGAGATGAAGATTGATTCGAAAAGATCAATTTCTATGACTAGAAAGCAGTTGAATACTTTGAATAAACATGTAAATTCAAAAGTAGACATCACGTTAGAAACTATTAATAAAAAGGATGTACTGAACGAAACGACGGATTGGAACACATTGAACATTGTGAAAGTTGCAAAAAGTAGAGCGACTTTTAATCTGTTCAAGCGCGAAGTATTGAAAAAGCAAAGTATTGCGATAGCTTTACATTGCAATACATACGTAGATAACACAAACAATATAGGCTCAAAGATCTGCGCTTCTGATCGGAAGGAGAAACAAAGATCCAAAAAGTCTGGAAGTTATACGCATGAGGACAAAGAGATTTGTGGTGCTGCAATATCCTGGGAGAGCAATATTGCATATTACATGTCATTTAGTAATTCACAAGGTAAACAGATGAAACAAACTAAGACAAACTTTTTTTGTTGCACGTATACTACATTCATTATTTTTAGTTGTTAAATTATTGAAATTGTTTTGATAACATTTATATAAACTGCATAAGTGTTTTAATTTTGCACAGAATCAAAAGTCTCTGGAAAGGAACAAATAACTCTGTTGAAAGAGTTATTTTCTGATACAACTTTGTACATAAAATGCTTTGCGACAAAGGATATGTATAAACTCTTGTATCAGTGTTGTGCAATCTCCGCGAAATGTAGATTTCTCGATCCAATAATAGCGCATTGGTTGTACACTAATGATTTTGAAAAAACTTTCAACGAAATGGTAAGATGTAATAATAATGATTAGAAAAACTTTAGGAAGAACCGAAGTAATATAAATGTGAGAAAGTGTATCAATTTCGATAAAGTTATAACAACGAAAATTTATAAAAATCTACTACTTTAAAAATAAAAGATTTATTACGATGATTTTATACACATAAAATGACGCTGATAAGGTTGTTTTTTTCCGAATAGACAATAGAATATTTTCCTCAAGGAAATTTCATAATGAAACGTATCAATTCTTGTTACAACTCGGGTTCAAAAATAGATGTGCACAGTTCTTTACCAGATGAGTTCAAGTCAGCAGCAAAAGCCGTGCTCACATGGCACATAACAGATAATGTCATGACTAAGTTAGAAGAACTTAATCCTGTTCTAATTCATACATTTAGAGGTAACAAATGTTTACATATATATATCTTTATTTTAAATTACATTATAATTTATTATTATTATTGCGATATACATTTGCAAATGTGTACTTTGTTTCAGATGTAGAAATGAGAATCGTAATTGTTTTGGCTTGTATGGAGTTATCGGGCATTGGTGTGAGTCTAAAATCGTTACAAGAACTGTCGTCGGTTATCTCAAACGAGATGCATGTGTTAGAAACGAAGGCTTACGAGTCGGCAGGTAGAAAATTTAATTTTTCATCATCGAAGGAAGTCGGTCAGGTCCGTGAAGAAGAAAATTAAATCAAATGATATATCTATGCCTTTGTGCATATTTATAACAGCATAATACGTAGATTTGTGTACTTATTACAGGTATTAGGATTGTGTAAAGACAAAAAAGTCAGTACAAGCAAGTCTGTTTTAGAGAAATGTGACAATCCGATATCGAGCCTTATAATTTTATGGCGAAAATTAAATGCAACAAAAACCAAAGTAATTATGCAATGACTAAAACTTTGTTCTAACGTACTTGTGCACATATCTATTTTGCTACGTACTTGCGCGGCAATATATCAGATTAAAACGAAATCTTTATCTAATTGATGAGTATAACAAATTTATGTTTATATAAAATTTATATCTCTTACATGTATTTTTATATATGATATATATTTTTCTATCTGTAGATGATCTATCCGTTATTACATTTGGCCCAAAAAGAACCTCGTATTCGCGGTAATTGCATTACTTGTACGATGACGGGAAGAGTTTCGATGCATGAACCAAATTTACAAAATGTGCCAAAGGATTTTAGTTTTGGGGATAATGATTTCGTTATAAGCGTAAGAATGGCATTTGTGCCAGCTTTGGGCAATATAATTCTGTCTGCTGACTATTGTCAACTTGAATTACGTCTCTTGACTCACTTTTCGCAAGACTCAACACTGTGCGAGATTATGAGACAAGAAGGTGATATTTTCAAAAGTATCGCTGCTAAGTGGAATAATGTGACAGAAGAAGAGGTATTTAGTACCAAAATCCGTAATAATCAATATAATCTGATTATCAATGTAATATCTACCGAAAATTCATATATATATTTACTACTTATACATGTTTATTGTGCATAAGTTCACATATTTGTTGCTCATATTTTTTGTTGCTTTAAAATGTCCAGGTATCCAATAAAATGCGTCAACATACTAAACAGTTATGTTACGGCATGATTTATGGCATGGGAGTAAAATCTCTAGCCGAAACATTGTGCGTAAGTGAACCTGAAGCTCAAGAGTTTTTAGAATCTTTTATGAGCACGTATCCTGGCATATATAAATGGTTAAACGATGTATTAGAAGAAACACATAACGATGGATATGTGATGACGTTATTGGGAAGGCGCAGACAGTTTCCGGATTTAAAGAGCGAAAAATCATCTGTAAGAGGTAAGTTAATCACCACCCGCATGTAAATACTCTATAAATAATTTATATATTATTCAACTAATTGTAAGTCATCTATTAAATTTTAGCTGCAGCAGAACGACAAGCTGTAAACACTAAAGTACAAGGCTCTGCAGCAGATATAGTCAAGAAAGCTATGATAACTATAGAGGAAAGAATGAGGCATAGTTTTCCAGATTCAGCCATTGTATTTCCCGAAGCACGAAACAATCGCAAACTGCGAAGCAGTCGAGAGATGCAACAAAGAGGCGGATATCTAGTTTTACAATTACACGATGAGCTGCTGTATGAAGTAGGTGTTAAATAGTAGAAGAAAAACATTATTCTGCGTTATCCTTGTGTGAACATATATACATTTGTCAAAAATATTAAAAAATTATATTTTACATTTTTTGTAACATTCTACATGTTACATTTTTGTTTTTTTATAAATATGCAAAATAATTAATTTTTTAATGATACCTCAGGTAAATTTAGCGGATCTGAAAAAAGTAGCTGCAATAATAAAAGACTCAATGGAAAATGTTAGCCAACTCACCGTACCATTACCAGTAAAAATCCGAGTTGGACCTGCATGGGGCGATTTAACCGATTACCAATTTTAGCACGAAATTCTAATCATAGTAATATAATATATTTATATCATTCTAAAAATTTTAATCGTAACATATTTATATCATTGTGTTTTTAAATTATTATTTGTGTTTTTATATTTTCATATTTTTTTAAGATTGAGAGAATTTAATTGTGAGAATTTAATTGAATTGATATATTTTTGAAAATTATGTTAACATGTAGTAGAGACATTTTACATATATTTATCTTTTATATTTATAAGATTTGTAAATATTCTATTATTATTGTTAAAATCTCAATTTATATTATTTATTATTTTCGTAGTAAATTGAGGTTCAAAATGAATAAGAATTGTAAATAATTTATGAAATGTGTACGAGTGCGTGTAAAATCTACTATTTTTTGATGAAGTACTGTTTTAAGAACAAATTAATATATATACTTGAATTGTTAATATTTTTCTTGATTACATTTTATGAATCGATATTTAAAAGTAAAACTACTTTGTTTTTCTCTCAGTTTTTACCTAAATAATATAGTCTTATAAATAACATTAACAAACAAAATTTGTAATAAAAAAAATTGTACTAGCGATAATTAAATATATTTTAAAGATATATAGAGTTTGATTTTATAATGATGAGCAGGCTCAATTAATACTTATAGAATTTATTTCTCATCAATCACTGTGATCAGAACACAAAAAGCAGATTTTTAGAATTCAGATTTTGGAATCTAAAACAGTTTTGACAGCCCTGATAGACCACGTGATATTGTTTCTAGAAATACATGATATATGTTCTGAAAAAGCGAGAAGCTACAGGTTGACTATGTCTCTTATATACAGTAATCATAAGACTGAAAATCAAGGCTCAAACTCAAAACAGCGATAAGAAGTTATAACGCTTGTGTCCTCTGAACAATCAGTATCAATTAATATAGTAACTTTTATTACTACAATCAAGTGAACTTTTGGCAGTGTACAATTAAGTAAAATAATAAAATTAAAACAGTAAGTAAAATTTTAACGATAAAATCAATTGTGAAAATATTTGAATTCCTGTGTGTTGCAAAATTACATTTTCAAAACAATTCTTGCCCGCCTGTTTACTTTCATTATTTAACGCGTTCAAGACATCAATCACATGGAATAAAAATCTATACAGAATCTTCTTATTAGAGATTTATTAGAAGTGAACATGAAGCTTTTCTCTTCTCTCTTCTCTCTCTCTATATATATAAATATCTGTGACGAGAATTTATGTCGTTTTATAGGAAATTCTTGGATGATTAATTGCGCGATTTTGAAATGCATTTTTTTGTTTGCTTCTTATATTTCTGGGCTTTATAAAAATCTAAATATTATCTATTTTAGTAGTTTAGGCAAAAAAATATTTATTTTAACATAAATTTGAAGCGTGTCTTGTTTGTGATGTTGTCATTCCAAGGTGACCGTAGCTAGTAATTATTTAGAAGCTGTAGTAATTATTTAAATGTCGTTAAAACTTCTGTTGAAATTGTCTTTTCAAATTTTGTTTTAAAGTGTACAAGTTCACATTACGTCAAGATACGTCTCATTACAATCACGAAGTATCACGTGTAACTATGATAAGACGCGTCATGCAGCGGGACTCAACAAACCAAGACCATCAAAATTTAGCCGAAGCAAACGAAATATATATGACTGCAAGGCAAATACCTAGCTTTATAGAACTTTTAGAAGTAATGATTTATCTTAGCTAGTTATTTTACAACCGCGCATGTGTTTATTATAAATTACGTTAATATTTCATAATGTATACTTAATACATATTTTAGTCAGATGATGTTGACAGAAGAACTCAATTATGTATTAGAGAATTAATAAATAAGAGTGAGAACACAGAAATGTTAGAGTATCTTCGAGACAATCGTGATGAGTTTTTGCAACTAGCAAGCCGTGTAATAAAAAAAAATCCAAAAGAAACACTACAAGAGCACATGGTTGTATATTATTTATTCATAGCAAATACGCGCGCGTGCATATATATATATATACGTATATATATCTGCATATATATATATATACGTATATATATCTGAGTATTTAACAGAAATCATTAATTTAACAGTTCATATCTTTTTTTTTAGTGTGCTACATTATGCCTATTAGTTCGGTTAGTTTCCACTGATGCGGAAGGAATTATTGATTTAATGGACAATGACACAACCTTTGTTAAAGCAATCATAAATCTCTTACAATCATACGATGTGTACAGCAATAAAGATTTTGTGTATTATTTTTCCGCATTTCTAAACGCAGTGTTGGACAGAATTCAAACAAGGTTTGAATCAAACTGGAAAAACCATTTATTAGAATTGGGAAATAAGATAAACGAAGAACTGTCTTTGGAAACGCTTGAAAATGTTGAAAGAGGTTTTTACTAATTAATAAATTAAAAGAACAGAATTTTATTTGTAGAATTTAAGTAAGTTATAATAATAATAATAAAAATTAGTTGCAGCAATATATAGAGCTGATAATATGCATCCAACGCCGGAGTTTCAACAAATATCGGTCTATTTACGCACTTTGCTTAATCTGAAGTGTATGCAGCTAACGCAAACGAACAATGATGTTCTGAGACAAATATTCGTAGTAAACGAAATATTTTTAAAACCACTTATTAAAGTTGTGATAAAAATTTTTAGAAAACACATAAAAGTTCAACAACATGTTACTACTTTTTCTCAATGGATGTTCATCGGAAGTTGGCTTTCGGTAACAATATTTATAAGAAGACTCGATTTATATAATGTCGAATCACTAAGAGAACCTAGCAAGTTGTTTCACGAAAATAGTTCGAGTTTCTTGAAAACAATGGATATTATGTACAAAATATTGTCAGAATTTACAAATATAGAACAAGACTCGATTAACCTGTTTTATCAATCTAAGATAATAATCGAAGCAGTTCGAAAAACTTCAGAACTACTTGTACTTTTTTGTGACAATATAGGTGTTCCACTGACGTTAACTATCATGTTACTATCTATATTTTGTCACATCGACAAACTACACAATGAAAGTAAGTATCTCAACTCTTCGCATTGCAAAGATGAGTTAATATTGTAATGTTTTTTGTATAGTGTGTATGTGATACGTTTTTGTTTCAGCTTCAGAGGATGAGAAAAATAAACTTGTAGAAGACTACTTAAGTGAATCATTACTGTACTGGACTTTCATTCTAGACAAATGTTCCTGGCTACACATCTTGGGGATTTTGGATTTATGTCCTACCGACGTTCAAGTTTTTGTACTAAAAAAAGCAGTAAATAGTTCTGTTTTACCCGTGCCAAGAAAAACACAGTTGATGAAAGTTTACAATTACTTACTGATATAATTGTTAAAAAAAGGATCAATGTATATACTTGTTTATATACTTGTATTTTTTCATCTATATTCAATATTTATCCTTTATACGGTTTGTTTTCATGTAATCCTTGCTTTATTAAAACAAAATACAGATTTGTTTATTAGTTTTTTATAAACGTGATATTTTACTTAAAGATATCGTAAACTAATGAAAATATCATGAACTCTAATATAAAATTTCTTACAAACATGAAAATAGTAATTAGATTATTAATTATTTATTGTCCTCTCTGAATTAATTATTATTCCTCTCTTTTTTACAAAGCATTTATATTTTTGCGTTCAAATTGAGTTATCTTTGATTTAGTGATGCACATATGTTAGAAGATAGTATAAAAAACTGTGTGTGTGTGAATGGATCTTATAGAATTACTAATATATACATTGTATATATAGCACACATTATAAATGATTATTGTTTTATAACAATTTTATTTTATGATTTAGTATATGTTTATATATATAATATTTTTTATTAGAATATAGCCTATATATATCACTCAAACAGAACAAAACTTCCATTAGACGTTAACAGCTCCATGCGATATCTAATAGACGCCTAAAGAAGTATTTGTTCTGTGTGGTTCACAATCAGATACAACTTTATTATTTTTATTTCAACTGACTTTCTATCGTAACTTTGTATTAAGTACGTGAACTATTTTAATTTAAGTCTTTTATTTAATCAAAAAGTTTGTTTTATATTGCACAAAAAAGATATTAGAATCTTATGTTTATATAATTTTTGCAAAATAATTTTAAGATTTAAAGTATCCTATATGTTCTGCCGGATAATTAGACTGCTAAACTAAATAACTAAGTACTCTACTAGATTGGTGTCACAGTGATAGGAGTGACAAAGAGACAAAAAGATAGGAATGCGCAGCGCGCGTTCAGACTATATGAACACTTTGTAAGAGTTCTAAAACTCTAATCTCGGATAGAGTTGTGAGACGCAGACGAGGATTGCGCTGATTGGTCGCCTTGCCATCTCGATTATCGCAATATCGCACTTCGATAGTCTTCAAATTATAGCCAGTTGAGAAATGCGCGCCATAAAACATAGAATTGGATTCAAATGGTGTTTTACTTATCTCACGTTTATTGTTGTTTGAAATTGTGAATTTTGCGCACGGAAGATTTATCATCGCGAGTATTGAATGCAAAGCGCGTCGGTTATGATCGCAACGCATGAAACACGGCTTGAAGAGACACTTGTAACTGCTTAGTCATCGCGATTGAAGAAAACTAATTAAGAAATGATATATAACGATAAAAAAGAGAAAGGATGTGAAAAGAGGAAGGAAACCGGTTTTACACACACTTATTATGTATATATAGATATTGTGTATAATAATCTAAGAATAAATTATAAATATACATGAAAAAAATGCATGTTACAACTATAAATACAAAAAGGGTGACATAAAAATGAGAAAATATCCATCTATGTTGCGTACAAAAACTACATTCGAGATTTTTTTTTCGAACACGAGCTAAGCGATTTTCAATATGTTTGGAAACAATCGGTATAAGTCGCGATCTTCAATTAACGTGTCAATATTATCACACGTTTGCAGCAATTCGCTGTAACAGAGGAACCGCGTTGATTGATTCTTCTCAATTTAATATCCTCAGGAGTTTCAGGTTTTGTGGACTCGTTCTTTGCGTAAGACACAAAATCCCACATTTCGTTTGCTTTCAGTTGCTGCGTTTTATAGTCTCTCCTTCGCTTCGTGACGAGATGAGGAGCAGAAGAAGCACAGGCGTGAAGAAGCGAGATGCCCGCGACCGAGGGATCCGGCAAGGCAACCGGGTAACGGTACATCACACAGACTCATCGGAATTCACAGTGCGCGCTCTATTCTCCATGTACATACTATTTACCCGTCCCGATGAGCGGGTTCTGTCCGGTTTTCTTCGAGGCTTCTGCGTGCGCGCAAGCAGGGCAATCGCGTCTATCGCGCCGGGGGAGAGACTCGCGTGTAACAACAAGCGGGGCAGGAAGTAGTGCGCCCGGTTTTGCCCCCGTGAGTCGCCCTGATGATCTTAACTTCTTTCTGTCTCTCTCTCTCTCTCTCTCTCTCTCTCTCTCTCTCTCTCTTTCTCTCTCTTTCTTTCTCTCTGGGTCAGCAGGCTGAAGTCGTGTCGACAACGACACACTCCTGGCAAACGGAAACCGTTTAATGACGCGATGTTTAGTGCAATTGCTACTACGCTGCAAAAAACGTTAGTACATAAAATAAATATATGTATAAAAAAACGAACACAAAATAAAGATGACTAAAAGATATGTTGATTCTGTTTAGATTCTTTTTAGCTATCTTAAACATATCGATTAACATCCGCATTAAGAGTATTTTATACATCAGTTTTTTAATTACAAATATATTTAACGTTATAATTATATATTAACGAATTACAATATGAGTTTTTTCTTATTATTGCTGAGGAAGTATGTTTACATTTCTTCTGAGTACGACATATATTGCAGATACGAATTCCATCGTCGTGTCCCTTTAATGTCTTCTAACAGCGCAAAAAATCTGGTTCCGAGAGGGTAAAAGACACGTCGTAAAGACGACGATATTGCTCGTTTGGATTGGTCTGTCGGCAATTCTCCACCGATTCTTCTAAACATGTTTATTTTATTGCGTTTACGCGCGCGCGTGTGATATAACTTTACGACGACGTCGGCGCTGGATAAGCTCGCGTTGACAATGCCCTTTCTGTCGCTTAACACTCGAGCTTCATCTGACGCGCCATTTGCACCTGCTCGGAACCGGCTCAGGGAGGCAGCGAGTCTAGTGAACTCGATCGAATTCCGAGACCGGATTCCACGAAACAACGGCGGTCGTCCACCGGTGGCCCGATTTGCTCTTTCGCTTTATCGCGGACAGAACATGTGTTCTCCCGAGACACGAGAAAGAAAGAAGAGTGAGAACACGGAGAATGCTCGAACCGTGTTTGCGCTCCATTCGTGATAGGATACACCTGTCATTTCGTACCACAAATAACGATACGTCGCTTGAGAATTATTGCGCGCACGCTAAAGTGTATATTCTTTATTTTTGAAATATGAAAAATGTAGGGTATTCGAAGAAAGTGGGTTTATTGCAGCAGAAACGCGCATATCTCGTTGCTTTGATTTGCTTTACTTTTATGATGGGTATCACAAGTAGAAAATTAGAATGCGAGTGATAAGTAAAAAAGACTAGCGTGAAGAGCAAATACGGCTCGAGTGGGAATGTAAAAAATGAGCAGATCGGTACGACTTATGTGTATACACTCTTGTCACTTCTCTAAAAAAAAAAAAAAAATATTCGAAGGTCTTCGAAAAGATGTAAATTTCACAGTTGAGCTTAATTTGTTGACGAAATCCATCAACTGCGACAGTCTTATCTTTCGTGATTTGTTTTTTTTTTACGCATAAGATAACGGATTCATCACGCGCGATTGGTTCGTAATCTTATAAATTAGTCGATCATCACAATAAGTGCAAGATGACGCAAAATATATATATTGCGATGAGACGTAATTCCGCTAGAAGTATCTCTTTCGAGAGAAAATCCGGTTAGAGGTACATTCCGTTCTACGACCATTAACCCATTAGTAGTTTCCACTTGCGATAATTAGTTTTAGATTACACGAATCATCTCATGTGTTTAATTTTGAGATGACGCATCTCTTGAAAACTCTTCACGATTCATAAAAATATGTAAAAGAACAAATTTTTTATATATCTAAAAGTATATTTAACACAGTTTGAGAGAAATTTGTTCGTTTGAAATATCTAACAAATTTATTCTAACAGCTGATAATCGATTAAAAAAAAAAAAAAAAAAAAAAAACTACATTAATAAAAAGTATAAACTTCGTGGCCACACAAATTCATTTCGCACAGTCACATATATTTACCGGATTTCTCTGGAGAAGAATAGTTCTCTAGCGTCGTGTGTGTCAATTAAATTTAAGCCGTTTGCGAGGGCTCTCTTATAACGCTCGAAATTGTTCGTGACGTCCGGATAGGACGCGATGTTCACTATGCGAGTTCTCTTGTCCCGACAGAGAATAATAAAATCCAAAAGTGTGTTTGTGCGGATTCGACGAACAATTAGAAACTCGGTACGGCCGGCGGCGCGTCCGTTGACGCGCTTGCCGAATTTCTCGGCTTGCAGACGCAACCGCTCTCCACCAACACGTAATCCTGGCCGGTCAAGGTCACCGGACCGAGAGGTATTACCAGGAACAGGTAGGGCACGTACGTCTGCGTGCACTCGCCGTGAACCACGTCGCATTCCTTTGATCTGAAACAACGAGAGAAAGAGACCGATGAAAGAGATTCTGCTGGGTTCGTTCACCGGACACGGAGAACTGCTGTTTACGAGAGTTGCATTTCACGACGAGCGATTCCGCGGCGATCGCATACGTAAGCGTTGCTGACATAACTTCGGGAGCGTAATATATTCACGAGATTGTGAAAAGAGATGTACAAGGTGTTTGAAATTTTTGGACACAGTCGAAATATAAGAGTAGACTTAGGTCACTCTTGGAACACAGAAAAGTCATGTACTATTTTTTCAAAATTCTCAAATTTTAAATTAGTAAATTATTTAATGAATTATTAATGTGAATCAATGAACACACACGGAAAGCAACGGCTCGAACTCTGTAGGCGCGTGTAAAATGTGATTTTCAAAAAAAAATCAAGAAAATATCAATAAATCAGCTGATAGTTGATAACCGCACATTGCTAGCTGTGTTACTCCGCCTCTCATTACTAGAAGGCTGTACGAAGCGATCCTTCTTTATAACTGAAAATCACATGGTTTTACATCATGAAAGAAATAAATTTTTGTCGGTAAAAAAATAAACAGTAAAAAATGATTTGATGGTAATTCAACGCACATATCACTGCGACGGTGTGTGTTACAACAGGGCTAGGTTGATTTATCTGAGAAGGAATTTTTGTGATTAAAAAGACCTCAAAAGTAGGTGTATGTCGATCACGAACACACAGTTGTAGAAACCAGTTCACCCTACTGTGCCACATACGAATTAATTCAGCAAGTAAGCGGCCCAGAGGTGAATTTCAATCTGGCCCGATGTCCTGCCGATCTTATAAATCACCGTTCACAATTTCGTGCGATATATCCCGCCGATAAATAGTGACTACACACGAATTCCATTTACATAAATTACCCACGAAAACTGCTTCATCTCTTGCATCTGAAAAGATGAAATATAGACGGTGTCTCGAGACCAACGAATCATTTTATAAACCGCAAACGAATTCGAAATCAATGTTTATTTAGCTAAAATTTCCAAAACAACGAGAGTTCTCACAAACGGATCGCGTGTGTCACGGATAAAAATTGATAAAAAAAAAAAAAAAATAGTTGCTACTTTCCGAAGATAAAAATTGAGAAATAAGAAATTTAACGTTGAAGAAGAGACAAAAGTGCTGACAAAGAGAATGTAGAGAATATACAAACGGTGATTCGAAATTCTTTCGAGAGAATCTCGCTTTTTGACACTCACTCGCAGACCTCAAAGACAACCTGTTGCAGAAGATCGGGGAACTTCTGAACGATTGTCACCGGTTGTCCGCTAGTCAGGCTGATGCCGTACATCGGCGCCGTGGTGTTATATCTTGTCTTGCAGAGTCTGGCAGGCGAACCGCAACTTTCCTTCGTGGAAAACGCACGGCCTGAAAACCCAGTGCGACGATTACACGTCACACGATAATAGAATATTTTTCTCCGTTATAATCCACACACGTAATTATTAAATATAACGTGATATACTCGGTGCTGATGTTGCCGCACATTTTCCTTATTACATACTTATTCGCACGACGCTGTGTTTAACATAGTTTATTGCGGCTTATTGACACTAGAACGTTATAATACGGTATAATGGGGAATAGTCCCGTAAGAATACGGGATTCATGTAAGATCTATTGAAAGATTAAAACAGTATCTCTCGCCCCGAGAGTGTATATAATTCATTACCACTTTGCCACTGATCCATATCCGATGGGTAAAGATTCGTGCGAAAAAAAAAAAAGAAGTTCATTCTTGAGCAATATCAAATATTCATGGTTTTTAAATATAAGCGATATGTTTTAATTTTTTTATTTCACTTGCGTGTCAACGTCACATATCGAATCCTCGTGCGCGCTCGAAGTTGAAGATCAAATTTATATAAAGATACACTACTCGTATTTTGAGAACTAGGAGAAAATCCAGGCGAAAGAAAACAGAGAGTATCATTAATACATCGAACGTTGAAGCGAGATTCGCTCTCGGAATCAGCGGCCTTCGTCGAGTATTCCGAGACGCGAGCCATGTGTATACCTACGTGTATACACTCAAAACGACGACGAGTGGGTCGCCGGCGGATCCCGTTATGAGCACAACGAGCGATAACTGTATTGGCCGGATAACACGGTGCCTTATTATCCGCTCGTCGCTGTGCCACCGATTGGCCTTTAATCGTGGAAAATCGACCAATATCGTCGTGGCGCGATCGCGGAAAACTTATTTTCCACGGGCGGGTATTATTTCCCGGCGCGAATTTCGCAAAAACCTCGACGACCGATCAGAAACACGAAGCGGGTTCAAAGCGGGTTTTCGTGTCATAAGAACAGCTGCGTTGTAACTCAAGGCTGCAGGGCACAAGCCACGATCATGAAGCAACTTCGCACGACGGTCGCTGTCTACCTCGCGACCGGCTGTTCCAATTTTCGCGTGGGGTCCCGCTCGCGACGACCCCCAAGCTGACGTGCGCGTTGCGAACTTTTTCGAGGCCTTCGCCCGCGTGGGAACAGGGTCGTTTTATGGAAATGTTCGCGTATTACCGAAGCGCGCGAACACGATCTAGCGAACGGAATTTCGCGATCGATCTTGGAACTCGGTAAGAAACACAAAAAACGTAAAAAAAGACTCTCTCTCTATTTATTTTATTTCTTATATTATAAATAGAAAATATTTGTACAGTTTTTATTTTGCTCTTTTATTTGATTGGTAATTTAATCCTCATTCTCGGGGTTAACTCAATAAAGATAGGAATGTTTAATTTATTATACTTGTTTGCGAAGGTCAAAAGCGTTAAAGATGTTGCAGATTTTATCATTTCTAAGCTCTTCCGCTTGTGCTTGACGCGCAACATGAAATTATAAAATCAATTTCAACAGAGAGGCTTAGGAAGAGTGTAAGGTAGAAGGAAACGTATGTTGCCCACGTGTGCAGATATAAAACCGGTTAACGCGGGAGATTAATGAGATCGTCGATGTAACTTCTGTAGCGAATCATAACTTAACCCTTTATATTGCCACGCTTAAGATCAAAATAAACTAATTTAATATAGTAATTTAATATAGTAATCTGAGATTAATATAATAATCTCTCGATCGCGGTTCTCTAGAAGGAACAACGGGGAAACGCGCCGCGTTTAAAACTCGGACTTACCGTTTCGGAAGCCCCCGGCGATCGAGTAGTCCCCGTGAACCGCTTTGTAGTTGTGCAGAAGCGCATGCCTCGTCAGTTCGGGATCAATCGGCCGTGGCTGATGCGATCGCGCGGTTCGACTACTGCCCGCCCAGAGATTCTTGAAGCTCCTCGATATCGCGGCGCTGCAAGAATGATGGCGGCACACATTCATCCTTTTTTTGTTCGTTCTTATGTACATTTTCTAACGAATTAATTAATTTACACAAAAAAAAATCTAACCGTTCCGACGAAGAACATTTTCAAAGAGTCTTGAATAATCGTTTGTCATGTTCGTTTACTCGTATTGTTTTAATTATAATTGAAAAACATGTCGCTACTTACGCAGGATACTGCATGTTATTCGGTCCTAAACAGTCATCGGGATCGGTGAGCGCGTCGCCCCACACGTATTTCAGATTTATACCGTTGCCCTCGCACTTATTGGCGCCGTATGTGTACGTAAACATCGTGATAAGAAGTACAAGACCGAGATATCTGGACATCTGAAAATAATTGTGTAAACGTGTTTCGATCATAAATTTCTTTTACGCGTGCAAGTTATCGCGACAAAAATTTCTTTTAAACTTTAAAAACCGTGTTTCGCGAGATATTAGCCGATTTGAGGCGTTTTCTCGTTACAGACTGAGATTCGATAGGTTGTCATTGAGTAAGTATACGTGCGAGAGAGTAACTGAGGTAAAACGTATAAAATAAACTTTCTCTTAAAACGTAAGGTTAAACCGACGAAAATGATACCTATCATTTCTCGCTTGCCACTTAGATTACATCTAAAGTGATAGTTTAGCAGAAGATCTTCACGTGCAGATATTGACGCGTATTCCGGCGTCATTTGCAGCGGCAGTTCAACACGATGCGCGACGGCATTAGAGACAAAACGAAGAGTCGCGCAAAGAGGAGCGCTATCAGGCCGCGGGCGCAATTCTGTTTTTTTCTCCGAGAAGGTATTATTTTCTTGTTAATCAGGATCATTGATATTGCCTGCGATGAGCTCACGCCGCGTCAGCGTGTGTAGGCAAGATAAGGATGCAGAAAGGTGGCGCGCGAGCGGAGCGGTCTCGGAAACCGAGTTCGCAAGAGGTCAAGAGCAAATGACACACGCAGGTGTGAGCACACCGAAAGAAAATACCGCAACTGCTTCCTCAATCGAAGCCGTTGTGCTGAACGTGTGAATGGTGTTCTTTGAGTCCTCTTCAAAGTGAACCCTGCACAAGTATTTCTTACAATTTTTTTTTAATTATTTGTTATAATGAGAGTTATCGCAAAAAAGTGAATGAAGATGTAATTTAAAAGGTCGAACAAAGAAACCAATTTTTATTATCTTTTAAAAGAATATTAAACTCACGTGACTGACAGAATTCTTTCTATGTGGTCAAGTCTGTTCCTTTATTTTTCGAAGGTGCCACTTGAAAATAATTATAGTCGCTGGAGAAAAAGAGAAAAAGAAAGAGAAAGAGAGAGAGAAAGAGAGAAAGATATGTATCTGGTTTCTTCACGGTCAATAATATTCTATATATATCTATACCGTGCATATTTGTAAAAAAAATAAAACTACAATTTTAACGAAAATTGAATATATCTGATTCTCGCTTATTTCCGATTATATTTTTTCTGTTATCACGATGTATGTTATATATTGCTCCAATTAATTAATATCGCTCCTTTTACTGTACGAGCATCGTACATACGCGTGTATACAAAGAGCAATCTGATGTAACGGACGATCGTCGATGTTCGCCGGGAAATCACCGGTTCTCGTGAGGCTCGCCATCATTTCGCTCTCGGAATCCGCGTCGAAAGGATTTCCGTTTCGCGGATGAAGTTTACCGTGAAAAAAAAAACTCGCGTTGTGTCGACCAGAATTCTCGATTTTTTCCCTTTCGAGACGTCCCGTCTATGTTAAGAATCGAGTAAACAACGAAGGGAAAGAAGACACACAGAGAGTGAACGCGTCGGGAGAACGCGAATTGGGCAGAATCGATTACGATTACGGTCGCGCAATTAATGCGCGCGACGCGCATAATTAATTCCGCATATGCTATTCGGGGTTTCTAGGTTGTGCTGGGACCACGCGAAATCCGTTATTCCCGCTTATTTGCTCGCAGCTGTGCACATTACACGAGTGAAAGCGATCTCACGTTCGGAAAAGAAGCTCATCGATCGCCGCAGCGCAGACACGTCGCATTTTGATTGCGAATTCCCGCGTATTCCAACGTCCGCGTTTCCACACGCGGAATAATAATAAAGCGGAATTGCCTTTCAAACGTTTGATGCGAGTCCTCGTCTGGCGAGGTTCACAATTAACCCTGGCACGGTTGAGAAGGATTGATACACACTTTCGCCGCGATTCGTTTATTTCTCGGGGAAAAGAAAAAAAATTATTTCAGAGAAACATTACGCATTATACATTTTCATTTATTCGAATCGGAATTGAACCAGAGGTGTAGAGAAAAAAAATAATATAGAGAGTTCCTAGGCTGACTAGAGAGCGTATAATTATTAGAAGTGTAGAGTAAAAATATCACGAGGCGGATTATCGCTTTTCGGAGAACGATTCCGGCTGACGTTTGACGGACATTCGAATAACGAACGAGCCACGGTCAACGGGAGAGCAAGGAAATCATTAACGGATACCGTCCAAGGTTGGTCAATGGCCGTGACCGCCGAGAGCGCTCGCGCAGTTACCTGTTGCCTCGGTAAATCCTTGAGATCTCCGACATTGATCTCTCTTTCTCGTCTATCGTATATCGTCCGCGTAATCGGTCACGGTTCGTAAAATCTTCGAATTAAGCGCAATTAACGATATACACGGAAAACTAGGACGAAGATCGATCGATCGTTACGATAGTTGATTTGTATCGTTGAAATTAAACCGCGAGAGAAAAATAATTGGCACAGCGCTACGCAATAAATTTGCGCAACGGTCAAAGGATGATTACCTACTCTCGTTACGGGCCGAAAATTTCTTCGTCGAACCGCGCGAACGGAGAAACGTAACGTTCTGTTATCGTAATTTGTTCTTTTCGCTCGGCCGCTTGCTTTTGAACGATATTACTCGCTTCTGGAAGCGTAACAACCGAGCGCGCAACCGTCGCGGGTTGCTTTTTGCAAGTACGAAAAAAGCGCACTCTTCGCTTGATTAGCGTTACGATTAATCAAAGTGCCGGCGGTGCTTCCCGTAGCGCGATTCATTTCGCAGATTGGCAAAAAGTCGGGAAAAAGATCGCACGGGGAGCAGAAGAGAAAGAGAGAGAGAGAGAAAGAGAGAAAGAGATGAATCTCCGATCTCGCGCGATCTCTCGTTTTCCATTCTGATACATTTATACACCCGTCCCGCTGTATAACGTTACTCCATCGTCGCGACCTTGCGGTTAATTAAAAGCGTTCTCACGCCGACCGGCGTGTACCTACTTGGATCCGTGATGCGAATCGACCGATCACCGGGTCTTTTTACGGTTCCTTGCTTCGTCCTGGATTTTCGCACGGGAGTCACGGTGAGATGCGTCGTGCATGTGCGATTCATCGCGCCTGCTTCGAATTCGCGACACGGCTGATTTAGATTTTACGAGGAAAAGTTTCTTTCAAAGGAAAGAGTGCACGAATTAACGGGGGAAAAAAAAAAGAGAAAGATGCGACTGAAGAATTGATAAAAAATAATTCAGACACGGTATTTCAGATCGATTGCAAATCGTATCTATATAAAAATTGTTGATTCGATGACGTCTGACAAATGCATAGACCGTGTCTCGGTGCGTCCGAGCATGTCGCGTGGGCAGATGGTGTAAGAGGAAGAGAAGCGAGACGCGCACGTGGGAATCTGAACTTGTGAGAGAGCCCGTAATCGAGATCTTCGCCGGCTCCGCGCTGGCGGCGATTTCGGGACGGGACGCTGCAATTATTCCCGACAGAGATTTCTCACGTAGGTCTGTGTGTAATATCGTCGACCGGGCAAGTGTATACGATTACCGCATCAAATTGAATTTACCTTCGCAATCCCCGTCTTCCTCGTCCTCATGAGATATCAACACCAAAAATCAATTTTTTCAGAAACATGTTTTCGAATGTGTACATTACTTTTGTTTCTAATTTTACAAAGCGTATAATTTTAGAATATAATTTCTTCAAACGTACACTGACCTCATTTGTACGTACTTTTTTCTATCGTCTTAGTAAGATTTTTTAAATCTATTTTTCTAATAAATTTTTAAACAATTTAGCTGATATTTTTCGCAATTATGATGGAATATAATAAAAAAAAAGTTAAAACGTAATATTAAAAAAAAGGTTAAAACGTAACCCGACAATGATCAGAGAAATTCCGTCTCTCCGTTTACTTCGAGAAACAGAATTCCTCTACGGTCCACGCGCAATGCGTCACCGAATCTAACGGTGAATCGTTGAATCGTCCAAAACGTCGTTTCCTCTCGTACAAGTTCGGACATTATCGAGCATACGTTGGTTCATCCTCAATAACGGTATATGCGTTTTGGTGATTCTTTCATGAATTATTAAAATTGCCGTACTGTTGAATTCCTTCTTGATCCGACAAATATGTCAAGGTGACTAAGTTTTAACTTGACGCTCAACAGTAAACAGTGCAAATTAATTACGCGCTTACATTTATTTTTACAAGAGAACGAAAAATATTTATAAAAAATCATAACAGAAAAAATGCGCGGTTCAAGCTCGTAACAGGAACAAATCAAACTGTAATCTACTGTCAGACATTAAATATCGCAATTTTAATATTGTCAATATCTATTTTGGTGTCAAACAATAATGACACTATTTTATCGGAAACCTAATAAATTTAATCATTCTACGACATTTATTCTGGCATCTAGACATTGTGTAATTAATTTTATCGAAACAGAATGCGGGAAAGAATCTTCGATTGTCGAGTGTTCACCACGAAAAGAAGCGTACCGAACGCGTACCTCGCAGCCTGTGCAGCTGTGCGGTAAAACGTTATACCTTGGATAATAAACGTCCAAGGCATAACCAACCGGCCTTTTAAGTACTCGAACTCGACCGCGCGATGATCGTTTCTTTCGAAAGAGCGCTTCGTTCCCGTCTACCAGCGCGCGAGCGTGAATCTCGTGTTTCTCTCAAACCACACGAAGGGTGGTTTTCTGACGGTTGATCCGAATCCCTGTGACAAATTATTGACTCAAGATTCGCACAGAAATCTGAATGTTTTCAGTGAAAAACAAACAAGATCGGTTTCTTTATTTATTACGGATCTCATTCAAAATTCGCGAGCCTCGTTAAAAATCAGCAAACCACCTGTCCTCGCGTTACATTATAACATACATTTCAAACAACCGTTCAGTTCTTCTGTTACTCACCGTGAGGAACATTTGTTTCAAATTGGATTACAAGTCCTTTCTCGGCTTGTCCGGCGATTTCCGCGTTACATCAAAATCGACCAGGCCGTCCTTCAGTTCGGTGAAAGGAAAAAAAAATTCCGAAAAGAATATTTAAAATTTGGGCACACCAGTCTTTCTTTCTCTCAAACACCGCTCATGTCACTGCACCGGATGTCGAGTGAGGTCGAGCACCTCCGTCCTCGCAGGTGGATGTCCAGAGGTTGACTGTAGAATCGTAAGTAACCGCTCTCTGTGCTTGGGCAGCGAGCCGGGGCAAAAGAGGGGATCTCTCTCTCTCTCTCCCTCTTGACCGGGAAGAAATACTGGTCCCCTGTTTTGCCTCTAAACCTTTTTCCGCTATACTGATAAAGAAAGAAGACAATCTCCGGAGTAAAAGAAGATAGTCTCGGTCGCAAATTCCTTTTTCTAACAAAATGTTACGACAGTAACGAGACTTCTTCTCACGTGATATCAGAACTGAGAAAATCGCGGTATTTTTCAAAAGAATAATCGCGTCGATCAGCTGACGGGTAGACGAACGCGATCAGAGAGTTGTTTGTAGAAAAAAAAAGTTACTCGCTCTATTAAGTAAGTTAGCAGAATTGCGCGTTCAGAATTAATTAATGTTTTTAATATGGCCGCAGATTTACAACTTTTATTGAATAATACTTGTACATAATAGAATAGAGAACAATAGCATTGGACACAAAATGACATAAGAAATCAGACAATACTGTTGATAGATCTGAGTCGAGAATCATAAAAAAGAGAATATATATATAATAAAAAAAAAGAGAAAAAATTTAAATTTGACACCCCTATCGTTATATATCAATGGAAGAGATTCTTAATTGTATGGCGCGCTTCTAAAAATTGTTTCTAAAATATAGAATGTAAAAATACAAATATCAAAACATATAATTAATATATTATTCATTTTGTATACCTTTCATATTGTGTTTAACTTTGAATTCCATATGTATCAAATATGTATAAAGTCAAATTGTCAAATATGCGCTATCATTAGAAAATTGAACTTTGTGACATTTTTTATATATTCTCTATATGATCTCTCAACATTCTTCTTCTTGTAGTAATAATTAACAAACTGAGTGATGTACGCAAAATCATCCAGCAAATATTATTTGTAATTGCAAAACTGCGTCTTGATCGGCGCAATATTGTTAACAACACGTTATCACATTTTTTTTTTAATTAACGTACAGTCAAACCCCGATAACTCAAAGCTTTATAACTCGAAAACCTCTATAAGACGAAAATTTTGTTCATTCTCTTCCGCTCTGCAAAAAGAAAAAAGAACTTCGATAAGTTAAAAGCTCTACAATTCGAAGATTTTAGCTCTTCCCTTGAGATTCGAATTGTCGAGGTTTGACTGTACTAACATTGATATGAATTGTTTAAAACTTATATTGCCAACAATGTTGTGCCGGTCTAAACTAAGCACATAGGGACAAAAAATTCACATCTATTAACTCACGAAAAGAATAAAAAAAGTGATATCTATTTTGCCAAATATTTAATCTGATGACTATTTTTAATTTAAATCAATTGATCACAATAGCATTAAGCATAGATGAAGTTTTACTACGCAAGAGTGATCAATGAATTTTAAAACACTCGCTCAAAATTGATAAATTTGACAATTAAATATATGCTTATATCGCGTAAAATGGTTTTTTATATATTGTATATATGCAAGAGATCACCGTCTCAATATTAATACAAATTAAACTGATTCAAAGTTGCCGTAAGTTATGTTTAAAAAAAATCTTCTGTTTGAAATTCTGGGGAAATAACACGTATCTTATTATAATAATCTTATATTCAGTACAACTGTCATTGTCCATTGTTGAACTTATTATCGAAACTAATCTAGGTACAAAGGTAAAGAATTGAAAGATGAAAATTTGAACGTGTGTTTAATAATCAAATTTAATAGAATTAACGGATGTATCTATTTGCCCGCCACGGTAACTGCCGCGTTTCTTCTTTTGTTTTTCGTGTCGGAATGACTTTCCCTTTGTGTATTTCAATGCTTCATTGGCTTTTTCGCCCCACGAACCACGCGCACCCTTCTGTTAATCAAAAGAAAAAACAAAAAAAATTACATATTTGTTGTTATTGCACAAAATTAAAATATATTTAGCAATAATACAATCGCGATATATCTCTTACCTTTTATATACACGTACATGTCCGTCATAACGTAAATGTCTATTTACATTAGTCAAAAACAAGCCTTGTATTTTGACGAGGTGCGTTCATGTCGAAACCACATTTATTACGTCGTCCTTCCCTATCCTTATTTTCTCCACTACCTCCCCCCCATGAATTTCTTGATCCGTCATTTCCACCCCAAGATTTTCTGTTGTTAAAACCGCCTCTGCCGCCGCCCCTACCACCGCCTCTACCACGAAAACCACCGCGACCTCCAAAATCATTTCTATTATTACCATCCCCATTTTTATCATCGTCTCTATTCCAACGACCACCACCACTACCACCTTCGTTACTCCAACGACCGCCGCCGCGACCACCGCCGCCACGTCCTCTAAAATTGCCGCGATCACCCTCGTCACGACCTCTCTTATCGCCCCTAAATCCACCCCTAAATCCACCTCCCGAATCTTGTCTTTTAAAACTATTATCTTCTTCACTTTTAAATCCACGTTTCGAATTTTGTTTGTTAAAACTATTATCTTCTTTGTTATCCTAAAACAAACAAGAGGAACAGGTCATACGCCCATAGAAAAGACAAATTTATTAAGTGATAAATTTTAACAATAAAAGTCTAATGAATAATCGAACGCAAACCGGTGAATGCACGGAAATAGTAAAAAGCATGGTCTCAAGCTTTTCAAAAAAAGGACGAGTGACCTGTGCCTCTTAATCGTTTTCCGCGCATTTACCTTTGCTTCAAATGAATTGTTAGCCAATACAGGTTCCACCTCGATATCTTCGTCTTTTACGCGCCGGTATGTGGCATTTAAGTTGAACTGTATACAAATCATTAAAAAACAATCGATAAAAAAGATGTACTAAATTGATAAAATGAGAAATTTCGAAAAAAAGATGAGATGTAAAAGCAACGATCGTGTCTTTTAAGTAGATTTTAATAATTAATTAATATCTCAACACATTCCACGAATAAGTCGAACAGTGCTCACTAAACGTACCTTGTCGTCTCCGCTTAAGCTACTATTAGCTTTCACAAAATTGCCATATTTAGTTTTCGGGGCTTTTGCAGCTATTGTTGGTTCTTCGTCATCATGTTTTCTCTTTACTGCTTTTGACGTTGTGGGAGTTTTCGTTGTTGCTTCTTCCTCATCTGAGTCACTTTCTTCTGAACTAGAATCCTCCTGTTTAGCTGGTGTTGGTTTCGCAGTTACTGGCTTAGCTGCCGACTTTGGTTGTTCTTCTTCGGACGAGTCCGAATCAGAATCAGAAGATTCCTTAACAGCTGCTTTCGATGGTTTTACCAGCGTAAATGTATTTGATGTCGTATCTTCTTCTGAATCATCTGAATCTTCGCTAGAAGATTCCTCTTTTTTCGATGTTTTATTAGGTTGTGCTGCTTTACTAGGTTGTGCTGCTTTAATAGGTTGCGCACTTGGTTTCTGTGTCGGCTTCTTCTTGTCATCAGAATCATCATCTGAATCCTCACTTGACGATTCTTGTTTCTTCACAGGTGCAACTTTAGTAACAGCATTTTGTTTAACAGAATTTGATTTCTTAGATGGAGGCTCGTCTTCTTCACTGCTTTCTTCGCTCGAAGAAGAGGCTGTTTTCTTATTGGCAGTTACAGGAGTTGATTTCTTAGCAGGTTGTTGCTTTTTTTCTTCTTCCTCTTCACTACTATCCTCGCTCGAAGATTTTTTAGCAGGCGTCGTCTTTGATGCTGACGATTTACTGACATCTGGTTTTTTCACTGCCGCAGGTGTCTCCTCGTCGCTACTTTCTTCGCTCGAAGATCCTTCAGAAGATGATTTTGTCTGTGTTAATGGTTCAGTAAAAACTACTTTCTTTATTGGTGAAAGAGATGATTTATTCGTTTCCTCTTCCTCCTCATCGCTGCTATCCTCACTTGACGATGATTCCTGTTTTGCAACTGGTTTTGCTGGTGTTGATTTATTCTGTTTTTGTGGCTGTATCTTTGAAGGTGCTTTTGGTGTGGATGTTTTGCTAGGATTTATTTTTTTGATATTAACAGTATTATCTTCACTACTCTTTTCACTCGAGGAAGATAGTTTTTTCTTAGAAACAGTTGCATCTTGTTTCTTAGCAGGCTGTTGCTTCTTTTCCTCCTCCTCACTACTATCATCTTCGCTCGAGGATGATTCCGTTTTTCCAACAGGTTTTGCTGCTGTTTTACTCTGTGCTTGTGCCTTTAAAATTGTCTTTACTGGTGTTTCTGATTTCTTTTTAGTCTTTTCATTTGCAGATTTTTTCTTAACTGGAGGAGTTTCCTCTTCGTCAGAACTGTCTTCTTCAGAGCTCTCTTCTTTCTGTGGAACAGGTGTTTTGGCAGTTACCTTGGCTTTCTGTGATGATTTTTGAACTGGTTTTTCATCTTCTTCACTAGAACTAGACTCTTCGGTTGTCTCTTGTTGTACTGCCTGTTTAAGTGGCACACCTTTGATTTCTACTTTTTTACCATTAACTTGTGGAGAGCTCGTTTCTTCTTCGCTCTCTGATTCAGAATCTGAGCTGGTATCATTTACCTTAGTTACGGTAATTTTTTTGGATGCATATTTTTGATAATATTTAACTACTTCAGCCAAGTCCGGTGTCGCTTTTGGTAGATGAGGCTACAAATCACAACATTTTGACATTAATTTTACTTTGACTTTTCCATAGTATTATTTTCATTCAGAATTATTTTTATAACTCTCGTCTTGTTAGTATCTTTTTAGAGGGGAGAAGTTAGTTTTAGATTTGTGTTTTTGGTAAAATCTAAATATTTTAGCCAAATCTGTTGTTGATTTTAGTAGATCAAGCTGAAAATCACATTATAACAATTTTAACTACGACTTTGTCGCCCAGGACTCCGGATGTCCGCCCAAACGCCACAATATATAACACAATTAATCAAATAGTATAATCAATAAATTTTTCAAACGTTCGACAAAAAGTTAATTCAACATTTATTTGTTAGTTAATTATTCAAATAAAAACAACGAACGAACAAATAAAACTCTACAAACTATTTTACGCGCCCAATCTCTATCAAATCTTAACTTTGCGCACGTGCTCGCGAGGTTCGACCATGCGTGCGGTCGATCAAAGCCGGTCATCAATCGCATGCGTTTATGAAAAAATCACGAGAACACATCGACGAAAATCGCCGATCGTCGATAGTACGCGCGAACAGCAAAATAACCGGTGGAGAAAATTCCGGGACGTTCTTATCCACGTGGTGATGAATGGCGGCACACGGAATTCCGCGTGGCGTCAGTAATCGCCGGAACTTACCGCTTTCGTTTTCTTCTTGAAAACCTTCGCCAACGATTGATCCTTCTTCTCCAAATAATCGTAGACGAGACCACATATAAATAAATCGTCCACTGCCGTCATGGTGTTTAATATTATCTCTGTATTCGAAGAATTCAGCCACTCCTAACGGGTCGAAAAATCAGAATGAAGGAGGACGAGCTAAAAGAATTACTTCCTCGGCTTTTTCTGACTGCAATGGCGCTGGTATCGACCACGTTTCATGTAATATCACTAGATGAGCAACGGCTCTGTAAAAACTGTTTTACCAATTACGAAGTTCCCTATTCGACAGCCAATCGGCGAAGTCGTCGTGTGACGGGTAAAATGGATATCACTGCACATGTAGGCTGCGTTTCGATATTCACTGCCGGTACTAGAAATCTATAGCACATGTGACGTGAAGTATAGATTTTTAGTAATGGCAGTGAATAACGGAACGCAGCTTTAAGGATCGTCTACAATAGAGAGTTGTAGGCCGTAATAGTAAGAAATTGACCAATCACAGACCGAGTACAGAAGAATAATCGATTGTGATTTGTCAATTTCTTACTGTTACGGCCTACAGCTCTTTAAGAGCTGTAACAAATCACAATCGATTATTCTTCTGTACTCGATCTGTGATTGGTCAATTTCTTACTATTACGGCCTACAACTCTCCATTGTAGACGGCTCTTTATGCGGTATAAATTTGGCGTAACGAAGGGCGATTGGCTGCAGCTCCGTACGGTTGAGAGGACAGCAGCGAGATGTAACCGCTTTCTTTTTCAAATTCGCGAGCCGGTATCGCGTTGCAATACTTTAATTGTGTATAAACGCAAAAAATTGTGACTTAAATTTCTCTAATTATGACGGAGACGCAACAAAAAGCCAAGTGTATCACTCTGAAAGGCTCCGCCGAACTGGTTGCCCAGTATCTGCGTAAGTACAACTTTTGTTTAATTGGCGCTTGAATTGAATCTATAACCTCTCTCTGCCAGTTGCTGTGTTATTTCAACGCTTGAAAAGTTCCAGTAGAAGACTGACAAGCAGACTGGTTAAAGCTTATATAAAAAATTATTAATAGTTGCAATATGCTAAAAAATCTCAACGGAGGCAAATTGAATAATTCGTAAATTAAAGAAAGAATGATTTTGTTGCAGTTTACGGGGTTAACAGTATATTATATCAAAGAGGAGTATACCCGCCGGAGACGTTTCAGACTTCCGAGCACTTTGGTTTATTTATTTTTACATCTACGGACAAAAAGATCACGTCCTTTCTTGATGCCGTCCTAGAACAGGTTCAAGAGTGGCTAGTGCAACGAAAAGTGCGCAAGATCACACTAGTCATAACGAATGTTAATACAAAGGAAGTGTTGGAGAAATGGGACTTCAAAGTTGATTATGAAGACAACCAGAAAACAAACGGAGTCGACAGTAGTGTCAAGGCTGATCTGCCTCAAGTAGGAACAAAAGACATAAAGACAATACAAAAAGAAATACGAGAAGTAATGCGCCAGATTACAGGTAGCGTTCAATTACACAGAAACTTTGAGCAAAGATTTTTTTCTATATGTAATTGTACTAAAAGTTTGAAATATAAAATTATTTTTTTTTTTTCAGGCACGGTCAGCTTTTTACCACTTTTGGATTGTCTGTGTTCCTTTGACATACTCACTTACACAGAACCTGACTGTTCCATTCCTGATCAATGGAATGAGACTCAACCTGTTTTTATTGCTAACAGTCAAGAGGTACAACTTAGATCATTTTCAACTTCCATACATAAGATGAATACTGTAGTTAGTTACAAAAATACTTGAGCTAACTTGGTTGCTCTTTTATATGCCATGTACTATTTGTAAATATAATTTTCATTTCATGGTGACTACATATGCATGCGTTGACCACCATCAGCTCCAAAGACTGCTAAGTCGTTTTGAGAATGATGGTTGACTCATGTAACAATTGTAATTGTAAAGCCTAAATATATAATATTATTTTATTGACAAATTACAATTATCTTCGACAAATTTGACATGAATATATTTTTTTAAGAAAACAAATTATTTTTTAATTGTGTGTAGAGTATTCAGAAAAAAAGATATTTACACAAGTGAAATAACGTTTAAACAATTTAAGTATTAAATCTTCAATTGACTTTCAAATATGAATTAAAAGTACAATTAATAACTCATGTTTTAATTACTTTTTATATTATAATAATTTTTATTTAAGAAATAAGTAATTAAAATTGATAAGTTTTTCTTTTTTTGGAGTACTCTAGACAGAGTTGGTATAAGTACAGTTCTAAAGCTGCTTTTTTGTATAAAAAAATAAAACTAAAAAAAAAAAATATATAAAACAAGTACATAAGAATGAACATGGTAAAGGAAATATATGGGACGCTAGCAAGAAATCTTGGCAGATTTTTTATTAGAACATAATTGACCATTACATTTAACATAGGAGTTACATTTGGTTACTTGGCAAAGCATGAGAGATACGACTAGAATGAAGTATTTTTGCTTGCCGACGCTCGGTAATCTTCTAGCGCGCCAGCATTTTCCAGTGTAATAGCTTCTCTCACACAAACTCCTCGTAATCATCCTAATTTTCACTCGTTTTCCCTAACGATTCCTCGCGTTACGTTCTATCTTGGAGCCTAAAGCATCCTTAGACGTAAGGTCGGAATCGCGCGAATAATTCGAATCGAGCGGTCACGCTCTTTTAATTCAAGCGAATTGTATTTTACAAATATATATTTGTAGGCCCCGAGAAAAAAAGAAAATGATCAACGTAACATGTTCAGTCGTAATCTGCCTCGCTCTCAGGTGTAAATGGAACTTTGTAATAAAATCCATCTTTGCGCCTCATACACGCTATTGTTTGTTCGCGATGTCCGATACTCGGCATTCGATCTCATGACAAATGTAAATATACAAAAGCAACTGTCTTTTATTCGACTAATTGGCTTGTGCTTTTTGAAGATTTTTTAAATACGTTCCTCTATGTGTGTGCAGTATACACTTCAAGCGTGTGATAAAATAGATTGTGTGTAAATTTTTTGTGCGAACAAACGAGAAGAACATTGCTTTCAGAGGTGCAAATTTCTGTGCACACATTTCTTGCAATCTTAATTTTGATCGTAGTGTGGTATTTACAAAATTATTTAATTTTGTACATTTTACATTTTTATTCTTATTCTATGTAATAATTCTTATTCTATGTAACAACGAGCGAGTAAAAACTTAAAAGCACGTTTCATTAACAGAAGAGAAACGTCAATTCACTTCGAAATATAAAGAGAACGAAACAGTTTTTATTGCGCAATATATATTTATTAATCAAACGCGACGCTTTCTCTTCAAACGGTAGCCAATTATCGGAATAAAGAAATAATTGCTTCTTTTTTTATTTATATCTGTCACTCGGTCTCGGTCGAGATACGATCGAAAAGGATCGTTCCGGGAAATATCGACCTATGCCTCGATCAGTACTTCGCCTTGTTTTTATCTCTCTTATAATAATTTCGCTATTAAAACGTTAATACTTCGTGCTGCTAGAATTAGCCATATTGATTCACAATTGCGTAGTCTCTTTGTCATGGAGACTATCGCGGAACGCAAACGTTCGCTTTACGCGTCTCAACTTCGTCCGCCTCGCTCGTTTATGAGACACACGTACGATACTTTTGAGAAAACAAATGTTTTAATTTTTTCTTTCCAAGAGATTATATTGATTATTTAAGCTTTTTTATTTAAGAAAAATATATTCCGAATTCTCGTGATTCATTGCAGCAATTGCATTGAACTTTTCTACAATATCCTACTATGTAATTCAAAATATTATCAATATTGATTAAGAATGCAAATGTAAACAAAGATCGCACAATTTAGATTAGAGACCATTTTAGTTTCCAATGTTGCAATATTGTTCAGATATAACAATTAGGTTTTTATTAGAAAGTTTTCCTACTCGAAGTATTCTTTTCCTCAAAAGCACACGTGCGGTTTTTTACGCGCCGAAGACGGACACTTGCAATAACTCTCCGCACTCAAAAAGCCGTACGTTCTTTAAGTGTGTTCTAGACTAGGTTTGCTCCGGATTCGGTTTTTTTTTTTTTTAGCTCACACACTGCGAAAGCTGCTGGAGATACGCTGCAGTTTTACAAACGTCCCGCTGGTTCGCGACATCACGTAAAAGAGCGACAATGACGATAACGAAATTCACCCGGGGGGAGTTTCTTGTTTAAGTTGTTTCGCGAATGTAAATTAGCAAAACATGGAAAGTGTTTATAGTTTAGAAAAAAATCCGTACAAAAGAAAACTTGACGTTAACGTGTATGTAAAGAAATTTGTTTAATTTACGAGATTAATTTAATGTAATGTAAATATCAATGCTTAAAAATATTTTTTCAAACTTACAATAGACCAGATCTCTCATTGTCGCAAATCGCGCGATATAACGGAGCGGCGGAAAAATCGCGTCTTCTCGAATAACATTTTTACGCGGTAATTCTTCTGGTAAATATATATACCGTAGAAACGTGTCTCTATTAGAAACATTGAAAAATAAACAACGCGAAATAATATACAATATTTTACAGTAGCGCTTAGAGTATATCAGTGACTAGGCGTCGTTCCCGCGAAACGGGGATTAAAGTTCGCGGGAAAAAGTGTTATCGATCGGATTATTTGAATCGCATCTCTCGTACGTACGTACTGATCGCGACCGCACGATTTTATCGAAATTCTTCCGATCGGCAATTTCGATCGGGAACTCGTGCGTGAGAGAATAGGAATCGATTGGTGGAGAGTATATTGCAATGCCGATCGCGCCTACGATGGCTGTGAACATCCATCCGGTTATAATTAATCGATCGATGCGACGGACGCGCGATGCTTTTAATCACCGTTCTGCGGTCCCGTCCCCACCCCGTGGACCGAAAATCGATTCTCTTCTTTATGCGTGTAAAATCGCGCCGCGATTGCAGCGCGGTCGCTCCGCGCGCGATTGCGAGGCGACGTGCGCAAAAAAATGGCACACGCCGAATTGTCATTTTATTTATACACTTCTACTTAAGTTTATCTTTTTTGGACTAACGCTATATCGATTTACGATCGTTCTTCTTTTTTTTTTTTTTATGCATAAAATATCATAAAATACATTCTTTCTTTTGTTCACTATTCGCGAACTCGCCGTTCCGTCTCGATGATCGAACATATTCGAACGCAGTCGCAAATATCAAGCTGACAAGTCGGATAGCTTTAGAAAAGTTCACGTCTCGGTTGAATGTCAACAAATTAATTCAAATAATAAAATTATCTCTCTTTAATTAACGTTACGTATCTCCTCCTCGTTCGTGATCTCTCATTTTGCTTTTTATTAAAAGAGAATTAGCAAAGAGATTCGCTTTATATATCTCATTGTACAATGTATCTCGCATTGAATATGGCAGTAACGTATATCAAAGAGAGAAAAAACGAGTTTTTTTTTTTTTTCATAAATTACATATCAAGAATTATGTGGAAATATAATACAACGAAAATGTGATTTTCATATCAGCTTCCGGTCATTAATATTTCCGATATACCGTGTCAATTCGAAACTCGACCGTTCGACGTTTTGCGAGATACCGAGACGTTGCGGCGAGTATCTCGCGATGACTCACGATGACTTTCATACAAATCGTTCGATAGGTACGAGCGACGAAACGTATTCAACGAAAAAGCACGGCGGCACTAGTAAGCTTGCACGGACATCATACGCTACAACGATCTCTCTTTCTTCCTCCTCTCGCTCGAGGATCCTTTTGGATTTATAGCTAAAGTCGGGCGAAGTGTGCGTCTCCCTTTCTCTGTGTGTGTATATATGTATATGTGTGGTATGTGTACTTTCCGCTTCTCATCGCGTGAGAACGGTACGGAACACTTCGCTCGCTCGTTCGCCCACAAAACTACCTATACGTAACCGTGTATGTTTCTAAAATGTAAAAAGTGAGCGCGAGCGCGTCCGTTCTCGTCGACGGAAACGCGAAAAACGGGGAGCGGCAGCAGTCCTCCTCCGTCTCGGTGTTTCGATCGCTCGAGAGTTGATCGCGCCGCACCGGATGCCTAAAAAGGGGATACGAGGGGTTATTTTGTACAATAGAGGCGTCCTGAAACGCATCGTTGAGGCCGAATTTCTTTTCGGCGAAATCTTTTCGGAAATCGCGAAGCGCCTTTTCTCCGCTGACCAGATCTTCTCTACCGCGTATCTCTCGGGCGAATAAGTAAACGAATATTCCTAATTGCTTCACTCTATATCTTGATGATTTTAATTTTTAATTTGCAAAAATGTAACGTGAAAATGTAAATTTGAGAAAAAAATTCGATATCATCATTTTTAAATCATTAAAAACTAGGCACAAAATAAAAAATTAAATTTTATCTCTTAATAAGAATTGTTTATATTCATGAAGATAATAATTGACGGTAGCGATTACCGTGAAATCGCTGAGATTAGAATTGCTTTGGTTTTGAAATGGTTTAATGGTTTAATGGTGGTTTCTTCAAATTGTTACCTGGTCTCTTTTATACACGCGAGTAACACGAGATTAATGAGCGAGATTAATTGTCGTTTTGCGGCATCAACTAAAATATCCCCGCAAGTGCCTAGTTAGAATTTCGCTGAAACGGCTCAAATAAATTTACGGACATTTCGCTGATTAAAGCTTACACTTCTGTCTGTGTAAACAGAAAATTCGGCGGTGCGCGTTAGTTTTGAGCGCCCGCAAAGATATCCGCGGTTTCCTTCTGCGTAAAATTGTGATCCCGAAAATCCTATTACAGTACTCGGGATCATCCTACCTCTTCCTGCAATCCCGTAAAATGATATCATGACATCCCCGAAGTACCCAACGTTGATCTGCGCGTGTCCCATGCTTTGGTTTTACGACGGGCTTTTCTCTCTTATTCCGTTTTCCCTTCTGCAAACCTTCCTCGCCGGAAACGATTCGAGACCCTTCGAACACAATTCTCTCTCTCTCTCTCTCTCACTCTCTCTCTCTCTCTCTCTCTCTCTCTGTACCAGAAATTACAAGTGGATACACTTCCGCTTCTCGATTTGTTTTCTTCAAGGCCAATTTGGTTGGACATGACGCACGTGACATGAATTTCGGCGAGTTGCAAATTCGAAATATTCTGAAAGAGAGTATCGGCGAACGTCGGAACTTGATACGCGCGCGTTATTGCGATCTCTTCTGTCACGAAAACTCGCGAATGTAATTTATCGCTGTAATTAACAAAAAATTGCATAAAGCTAATTTACTGATACCAATTCTGCGAAAAGATTTTCATCGGAGTATATTGTAGTAAGTGGTGGTGATTTAGTTCGCAATACTCTCTTTCACACACGTTTATTTGCATAATGTGTTCTTTTGCGCCTTCTTCCCGTGGAACGGGAAAACTCGAGTTTTTCTTGCAGATGAGGTGACTGGAGTGCGTCATTGCGAAGTTTTCTAATCCCGTTCGTGTGAACGTGGTGTTCTCCTTTGGGCAACGTGCGAGTACCGGGTGTGATGACAGTCTGTAAGCAAACGGTAAGAAACGATTCAATCTGTGATGTTCTGTGAAATAAAAAGTGTTGAGAGCAAGAAGAAAATGTTGTCTTGATTTTTTCCAACGCTCTCTCGTCCTCCTCTCTTCGTCCATTCTCGTCCTATATCACGTGATCCAAAAAAAATAAATCTTTTCTATCCTAAATTCCTCGACGTATTCCTCTTACATTTGTGTGTGTGTAATATACGTCTATCTGCTTGAAGACAAAAAGAACAAAAAACAAATAAATTTTGTATACGAAACGTGATAATAAATTAAAGTAAGAGATTGCGCTCGTCGCGCGTTTTCGAAGTTACCGCACACCGCTCGAAGTTCGACAATCCCGGTCGGTTTGGCCAACGTGTGTAAAGAACGTGCGAGGGAGAAAGGGGAGAGGTACAAGAAGACGGTACAGTTTTCCACGAAACTTTCCTCTCTCCTGTCGTGGCATCCGCAATATCGTTTCGATACGGTTGTTGCTCGCGGTACCGCGGGTAATGGATAAAGCATCGAGAGACCGAAAGGCTTCTTTCAAAGTGTACCTTCTGCGTACCTCACGTCCGTGTCTACCGCACGTTTTCTTCTTGTTCTTCCCCGCATTCTTTTTCGTCTCTCTTACGACGGGAGAAGGAGCAGAGGGAGAGGAAGGAGAGCTCTCTCAGTAGCTATTCGATATAATAGAACATCTCTCCCGTGTAGTCTCTCTCTTTGCGTCCTCACTCTCGTCGTTCGACAAACGAGCGGCTGTGGCGACGGGTAATGGAATCGACGTGCTCGACGATAGTTTATTTCGTCCTTACTTTAACGAGGGGAGGAGAGGACAGCACCCAAATGGAAATTCCGTTTTATCGTTTCGCGCGCGTACCGGTTATTTTTACGGTTCGCGCGCGCGCGATTGGCTGTCGTGGATTCCTCTTTTCCACTTTGACGAGCTTCCGACGCGCATCCGACCTGCCAAGATCGTGAACTTCGAGCAAATCTCGAGCATCCGATTGCGGTCTGATGAACGCGGTCGATATCTACTGCGAGTCGAATTATTTGTGGAAAAAAAAAAAAAGAAAAAAAGAAACGGAAGAGAGCATCGACTTCTGAATTTGATGGACCATCCACTGTAGTTCTTTTTTTTTTTTTTTGGTCTTCCGATCAATTCTTTCCCTCTTCGTAAAATTTAAATAAACACTTTTTCTTTTAACACGGGAAAAAAGTAATTTTTCACAAAAATTGGTGTCATTTGCCGCGACTTAAATTATTTTAATATTTTAGTCGGGGTGTTTCAGAATTTACTGAAAGTAATTTTTAGATATTGTCTCAAGCTAGATTCTCTTCCGAAATTTGATTGATACATTCTGTGTCTTTTATTCACAGAGTAAAGTGTCTCTCCGAAGTGAAATGTTTTCGAGCGTTAGAAAACTTTTGCTAACATTTTTTTCGGACAAACTCGCGCCAAAATCTTCGTTCTTACCTTTGTCGCGATGCGGAACGGAGGAGTGAGGCTCCGGCCGAAGAGTGGAAACTTTTCGTCGCACTTTTCAGAACCTTTGTCCCGCGGTAAAAGACGCTCAGCGCGATGGCTTTCGTCTAGGCTAACTCGCGAAATTTCGGCTCACGACGGTCCAGGATGCGATGTGCGCGAGGATGACGTTGGTCGGCGGCTCGCTTCGTCTCCTGAGGCTCTCCTGCGGCAGGAAGCAACGGTCAAAATTATTCCTGCTCGACGCGAAAGGCACCGCTAATGCCGTCGGCTCTTTCCGGCCTAATTAGCCCGGAACCATTAACTTTATCTACGAGCATCGGGGTTACAACGGCGCGTCTCCCTTGGGATAACTGTTAGATTAAAGGAAGGTGAAGGGAGCAAAGTTTCGCTTTCGCTGGAAGCTGAGCGCTGAATGATTAAGCTCGAATGCGAGAGCAGCCGAGTCATTGGATGTACGAGATGTGCTTAGGGGTTTTTTTCGCGATTATATAGACGATAAGATCTGAGGCGGGAACAATACTTCGTTCCAATCGATATTGCGGCGTCTGATGTCACAATTGCGAATCGTGAATTTTTATTAATGAAAATACGCGAGTAGGCGATAAATCTTATCCAAAACTTTGATATAAAATTAATTGGTCTAAGAAAATTGTATTTTGAAAAAAAAAAATTCTTATGCAACGCATTTATTTAAAATAATTGTCATAATTTTCGTCGATTATGTTACAAAAAGGGTTTAATTGAGGTTAGCGACATTAACGAGCCGGCATCTTGAGAGAGTTAACTTCGGGAAACGATTCGGTCATTGTAAACTTAATTAACCACTTTCGCTATTATTTAATCGTGACAATCAAGTTCTAATGACGTCTTTTTACGACATATTTATCTACTTCGATTGTCCTTTTTCCGTCTCTCTCCGCAAATTGTTGAAAATCGCTATTTGCGCTACAAGAAACTAGAATTGTAATAGATGTGGTCGACGGATTCGGTTTTGTCAAGTGGCTAGCGTCGATAATGGGCCCTTTCTTCTAATTAGAACGGGCCATTAAGCTTATCCCGCGATCGTTAGTCTCATCGAGTTTCGGTTTTTGCGTCGATTGGCGTTGGAAGGATCATGCGTTTTATTGACAAATCTTCTCAAGGTTACGTCCTATCATCAGCAAATTAAACGCAAAATAATCTCTAAAGAGACTCCCCGGATAGAATCTAAATATTTAACAATTACACTCTCGATCTCGTAAGTTCGTAAACTTTAACAATAAAACGAGATAATATCGATTAGACTCGCGGAATTCGTAGGAATCTGTTCGCGGATCGAGAATCATCGGCGACTTGTTCGGCCATCATCGTCGCAACGACGAGGATTCCCTCGGCCGGCGATAATTGATGAAATGAATCACGTTGACATCGACGACGATCATTAGCAATGAGCGGGAGAACACGGAACCGCGAGCTATCGTTAATCACCGGGCCTGACACATCCGAGCCATCGTTTGTTACTTTTGGGTAAGTTGTGCGGTCGCCCGGCGCTGTGTGATATCGATTCTGTGTAACAATGTCAATGTCGCGGACTTGGAGTTAATTAAAAACGAATATATTAATCGCAATCCCCCCTTTTGAAACACTTTCCGAGAACGTTTCATATCTGACCATGCGGTGATTGCGCATCTACCTGACTGGTGACACACAATAAATTATCTTTTAAAACTATTTGTAGTAGCATTTGGTATTTTGTCTAATTTTATATTTGCCTTCGAATATTTTATTTTATTGTTTGAATTTCGAGTTTATGCGGTTTTCGGTTTTATTTGCTTCTATTGATTAAGTTATTAACGATCTTCGCTTTCGGCAAAGTTTTCGACTGAGCTAACGGACGTGGTAACCAGCACTTGTACTATGTCTCGAGGCTCACTGCCGCCTCCTTATCCCGGAAGTTAACAACTATCGGCTTTGTAACCATGCTTAAGTTAACGTGAGTTTCGCGCGCATTGAATAGTTGGCAACTCCATTATAGACGCATTAAGAATATATACATATATATATATCAGTATATATACATGTGTACGTGCATGTCTTCGAATGCTCATCCCGCCGCATTGCCTCTCTTCAACTGTACCTACTATGTAGATATGTGATACGCGCGCGATCACTTCGGGGCATGACACAGTCGGGACTGACAAAGCTAACGTCCCGATGTGCGATAGCACGCTCAAGTGCCATCGTCTCGGAGTTGCTTTCATCCAACGTCAGCTAACTCTAATCGCAATTTAACCAAATTCCCCGTCTCCTTTGCTCACTATAACGTTGGATATAGAGACGACAAAGAGACGTTTGTAGAGAATAATTAAAATTTTCACAAAATGTGAAACAAATCTTTTTGTATAAGTAGATTGTTTGACACGAAGACAATTCTTTTTTTTTGCTTGTACTTTTGAATTAAAAAATCAAACAGAATTTTTTTTCGCAATTAACAGATGTCGGCTTTTATCAAAGAAATTTGTTTTTTTGGTTTTTAATCATTTGTACGTTTTTTACTGTATACATATTTATTTAGTCATTTCGAGATTTGTTTGAAACAATAACAATATACACACTACGCGCTCTGCGTTATTGATTTAAGGCATTTCTCACACGTGTAACCTCGAACTATCAAAACTACCTTATCGAACTACGTTTTTGACAACAGCTCGAACTACGAAGCGAGTTTGCGAAAAGAAGCCAAATGAAACAATTTCACACACATACACACACACTTTTTAAGAGAGAAAGAAAATTCGTTTGTTTCAATCGTTTGCGCGAGCGAGTTAAATAAAACAAAAGGAGACGTCGATGGCAAAGAAAGACTTTTCCGCCGCTAGATTTCGTGTCTATCTTTCGGAACAATATACCGGGGGTCCCGTCGTAGAAGTTTTGTGGCCGGCGATGCGGAGTGCCTTTTACACGAAGCGTTTATGCGACCGTGCGTTTCGAGAATACGTAGTCGGAGCTTTTCCCCGCAAAGAGCTTTCGGCATCGCGCAAGGACTGGCTACGAGCTTACCGAAGAGCCTCGCAAAGACATCCGGTTCTCGTATCCCCACGGTCTCCTTTCGTAGCGCGCGTAGTTTTCAGCTTTTACCCTTTGGCTTTTTCTTTTTTTTTTTTTATCGCGGTTTTTCTTTACGAAAAACGGTCAGCCGGTATCATTTCCTCCTGGCGTACAGTCGTCTAAGGACACCGGAGGGAGCAACTGGACGTTATTGCATGAGATATACTATATAGTTAGATACATACGTATGTTCTTCTACAGTAACGTGCGTACTTTCTTCCAACAGTTATCGATATTCGATTGTGACCCTCTTTCAGAGCTCAGGCGTAGCCGTAAAGGCGTGTTCGAAGAAACGTGAGATAACGCGGACCGTGAGAAGAAGAGAGCGAGATGCGAAAAATCGAACTTCCACTTGCTCTATTTTTTCCTCGCAATATCCTGCGGATAAAACGTCTACGCAAACTAATGACGATGACTCAAAGAAGATACAATTACAAGCTTCTCCAGAAATATTCGCCATAAAAGAGAAAAGAGCTCTAAACAAAATTTATTTTCTCTCTCTCTCTCTCTCTCTTTTCCTTCCATCTCTCGCGGTGTAGCGGTATTGAACATCGTTTTCGTCGAGTCGTGCAACTTCAACTTTGAGCGTAGCACGTGACTCGTGTCGCAAGGACTCGGCTACCCTTTACCGGGAACGATAAATCACGGGGAACCCGTTGAGCCCCTTTATATCGTCGGGTCGCGGCAAAAGCAACTCCGTCTTCCTTCGTTCATCAACGGGATGACGTTGCCATTGCGGCGACTTTTTGTTCTTGCACAGGGTGGTGTCGCGTAGTCACCGCATGTTCTCTTTCAACTCTCAGATAAAAGAAAAAACGTCAAAAAAGGGACAATAACTGCTTTAACGACAGCGGCAATCGTTAATTTTTTAATTAAGTGCCGAGTTTATTTTTGACTCGGTTTCTTTCACGGATTTTGTCGTTGTAAATATATATTAAAAAAACTGTTGCGGAAAAATCTTTCAAAAATGCAAATAAATGAAGAACGTTGTGCTTTAATCTGAAACGCGTATTTATCCTCCCAGTGATTAGCTCGTCGAGATATTTACTGTTGAAAATTACAGGCTTGCGGAAAATGCTTTAAATAACTTTTTATTCATTAATTTTATACTAAAAGTAGATACATTTTAAATTACTCTTCTTCTTGAGAGAACGTCTTTCGTGCGGCACGCAAAAATCCTTCACGCAAATCTTCGCAAAAAAAAACAACATACTCACGAAATAAAGTTATACAGAATTTACCTTTGAGAAACGATGATGATTTCTGATGATGGTCGACGTCGTCGTCTCGAAGCAAGTCGATGTCGAGGGAATGACGGTGGGCAGTGGTCGAAACGTAGAGGAATAGCGTTGGAGAGGAACAATTTGAGGGGACGGGAAATAGTGACGGAGAACGAGCGACGAATTCTTGAGACGGTTACGCGAATCGACGGATGCTGGTGACGTGACGGAAGGAAGAAGAGAGCCCGAGGAGAGCGCGGAGGGCGAAGTCGCGGATGCAGGAACCTGTAAAGGGATGGGAGATGGGGGTTGGATGGTCGGGTGAGGCTACAACAAAACAAAACACGATGAATGTCCCGATGTGCAAGCTGCAAACAGAAAAAACGAAGATCAATGGTTAGTCCTCGCTTCTCTCTTGATCGTTCACGCTCTGAATTATCTAGATTAGATTGTGAAGAGACCGCCTTCTCTCACTCTTAAAGCGCGCGCTCTCTCTCTTTTTTCTTTTCGCGATTGATCGATAATGATGATTTATTTAACTTCACGAAAAAAAGGATTTTTACCTTGACAGTGCCGCTAGATGCGCTAGAAGCGGGCGAGCGTCACGTCCTCGGCGAACGAAGAGAATTTATCTTGAGCCATATCTTCAGTGTAAGCAGGAAAAAGAACAGTTGTCCATTAAGTATCGTAGGCGTGAATTGAAACAACGCTTTTGTGAAATTTGAAAAGTAGTCGAGATACACAAAGATGATTGACTCGTTTATGACGGACGCGCACATTTTGACGTGCAAATAAATTAGTTTTGCATAGAAAAAGTTTTCATCGAGACTACTTGTCAAGGTTCTTCTCTTCTTTATTATAATAATATTTATTATAAATTTTCTACGGTCACACATTAAAAATAACTAACGTTAGAATGTGATAAACATTTCTGTACATCTTCTTTGATCACTCTGTACATCTGATTAAAATCTAAAAATCTGCAATGTCGTAATTTATACGATTTCACACGAGTTGTGTCGAAAAATTTCATGTGCTTGCGAAAGCACGAGCTTCTCGTCCTCGTACTACAGCGACTGCCGACCCCACGGGCTCTTCAAGGCTCTTCACCGACCCTGAAGAAGAACGAACGCGACGGGGAGACGGTCATAGTTCTATTTTTGTCGCTCATGAATCATTCCGCTTGCACCTATCTCGTTTAACGCGTATAAGGCCCTTATACGGCTACGCCGGAAGGTGGACGACCTCGATAACATGCGCTAATATAACGATAGTTTTTTTTTTTTTTTTTTTAAGCGGATTACCTGTAATAAACGCTCCGAAATCCCTTTTTTCCGTTCTTCTATCCGGTTCTTTAAGATTATGTCACTTGTTACGCGATAATAGCGCACTTGTGAAGATTAAAACATTAGAAGTAATTATTTATTATGGTTACACACACACAGATATATTGTATTTAGAGAGCGATATTAGTTTTTATTATTTTTTCTTATAGATATATAAAAATGCGTTTCTTTCTAGACAAGGTTTTTCAAAGTGTGTTGAAAAACAAAGAGAAAATACACAGAAAATCGTCAAAGATTAAATGAGATAATAAATGAATAAATCTGATATATTAATTTTTTCGCTCTCTGTGGTATATGTCTCGAGTTATTTGTTAACTTCTCGCTGAGTTGTCTGGCGGTACAAATCTGTTGTTTTCGCGACAATATGATATTGTTATAAGCTCGTATATTATCCTCGATGTTTGACTCGTTAAACGAGCGAGTAACAGCAAGGAATTCAATAGGAATTGTCATCGTAGTTACTGATTAAATGAACATTGCGGATGGGGAATTTCGTTGATATATCGCATTGTCCTGATGTGCCAATTATCAGTTACATATAACGATGACATATAACAAATGAGGATGAGATTTAACCTAACTTGAAATCGAGAACTCTCTCTCTCTCTCTCTCTCTCTGCGCAGAACTTTAACATTCAATAAACTTGCGGATAATAAGCGATGTTGCGTCTGCAATCAGCTTGACCGCTATTAGCGTTTATTTTGCGTATTAGACCTGGCTTTACTGTACTAGGACTCGTGTGTCTAATCCTAGGGAATAGAAGATTTTGTGCTGAGAGCCGCGAATTAAATCGCAAGTAACATTACCCAACTTTTTGTTGTTTTCTTCTCTTGCGAGTCGTGAAATAATGTTATCTAAAGAACTAAAATCTCTCTCATCTTTTTTTACTCTCAAAACTCACAGAAAAGTTCTTCCTCGTATTTTTCGTGTTTCAATGAAAGTGTCTTATCGTGTTTCGTTCACGTAATTCGACGTATCCATATACGTCGGACGACTCGTCGAAGTAAATGACGCGCACGCGCGCGTCAGAAACTTTTCTATCACGCGAGATATCGATAATACTCGGGATCTATTCAGTGTATACGCTCCAAGTTGTCGTCGCCTTTAAGAACTTCGTCGTGCCTGTTGATTTCAAAAGACACGACGTCGCCTTACGTGTTTGCGACACACAACGGCTCTCGGATCCTCGAGTATTCGCGTCGGAGAAATCGTCGAGTGGGCGAACATTTATTTTCCGGCTGCAAAAACGAAGAGAGCGCCGAAAGAGAGAAAGAGAGAGAGAGAAAAAGAGAGAGAGGGAGAGAGAGAGAACGTTACCCTTTCGAAACACCCCCCTATGTAAATTACTGCCGATACACGAGCGCTTCTTTTTTGTTTTATATTCTCCATCATCCCCCTCCCCTTCCCTTGTTATCGGAAACCATTGAATTCATGATCGTTTCGCGGACGAGAGTGGAAGGGGAGACAAGCTCGCTCTCGAATGAATAAAAGAGGCAATCGCGCGTCGGGGCGCGATGTAAATTCATTACATGTGTATGTTCGTCCGAGTGCGTTTGTTTGTAGAATCTAATCAAATATTGTCGCGAGCGCTCATTCGCGCCATTTTTATCAAAGTACCATCGTTGATGAGAGAGGGAGAGAGAGAGAGAGAACCGGTCGCGAAAAACAGCGACAGCGCGACCGGCCGGCGTTTCCTACATGGTTCCTTCGTTAATCAATATTCGTTTGCTTGTACATAATCAATTACCCGAATTAACAGATTTTTGTGAACGTACATTGCGTATACATCATATGCTGTTTTTATTTGATTGTTAAAAAGCGAATTATGAATAAAAGAACAACGGTGTTTTCTTCATTTTGTTATTGTAAAACAATGTAAGTACGACAGAATTATACAATGCAGAACAAAATTACAAAAATAATTTTCTTTTGTCTATTACTAGATGTCTGAAAAGTACGCGACACGTTAAAAGTTGCAGTTGCACTGAAAATATTAGCAACATATGTTTTTACATATATTTTACTAGATTATGTTAATTTCTATTAAGACCTTAATTAATCCCACAAAGTCCACGACGTGATCAGACAATCTCAAAACAGCGGAACAGTACCGCAGAAACCGCTTCCGATTATAACGTCATTTACTTATCGGGGTCAGGTCGAGGCGGTCGTGTGCCGGTCACGTTACGCGGATCTAACTCAACCCGGCACAAGGGTTAATATGTTAACCATGTCGCATGCTCGAGAACGACAAACTGCACCAGCTCGAGTTGAACGAGGAATTACCGCAATTCCGTCGAAGACGGAATTCTGAGCGCCGATTGTAGGCTTGATGTATAATTCTCTCCCGTCGGGTAGAAGGTGGAACGCGCTATGACGGTGGCGCTACACGCTGGATGTCGAGAGATAGAGGAAGAGAGAGAGAGAGAGAGAGAGAGAGAGAGAGAGAGAGAGAGCCTTATCTTTCCCCTTTACCCGCCCCTTTTCGCTCGGGTAATACGTATCGGACTACATTTCACGGTTGATCGAGGCTCTCGTGCCTCCGAGAGCAGCCCGCCATAGACTATTTCCCAAAGGATTTCCAGAGCGATATAATGGGCTTGCCAAGGTATAACGTAACCACCTAACTCTGTCGTATTACTCGGAGTCTCCCAACCGAGCGCCATTTCCGTACGAGGTTCGTCCGACCGTACAACCTCGGCAGCCGCGGGACCCCTCACGAGGTGAATTCGTCAACCAACACTCGAACCACCGTCTCGGACGTTGAGAAACCGAATTCTCGGCCGGGTTCGATTTGGAAATTGAGCTTCCTCGCCACGTACTCGCACCGGCGATCGTGCTCGCGGCGATTCCGGCGTTTTCTTCGCGATACATCCCTTCGCTCTCACCAGGTGGAATTCTCCCCCGGTTACACACACTTCACTCCTATACCCTTATTCGTGCCCTATACTCCGGCCGCTCTTCTATCTCGCAGACATCTGTGAAAAGACTACTTCAGGTGGGGGCAAAATTGAAAAGTGGAGCTACGAATCTCGTTTAGATCGTTTCGAGCGATTCGACGAGGTCGACGGCCCGTTTCGCGCGTGCTTCCTGTACGTGCGATTTATCGACTCGCGTCTTGTGTTCCCGACACTGCCCGGGAATTCATCCGGGCATCTCGATTTTGCGAGAGATCCGCGCGGAAAAGAAATCGCGATCGCGAAACGGAAATAGCGCAAAACATCATCGTACATGTATTTTACTCGCTGCGCGAGAAGCAGTTATTAATTATCACGCCTGGCACTCATCTTTTCTTCTCCTCTCTTCCTTTCCTTCGTTCATTTTATTTTGAGGCGTGCTTCTCCGACGTGTACCTTTAGCGGAGACTACCAGGATGTCACGGGACGGGCATTGTGAGAGCATACGCGAGAGGTCGCGTATCGAGAGTCTTTTGTTGGTGCTACATAAAGAGGGCAGAAAAGGAATGAGGAAGGCTATTGTCTCGGTAGAGTCTCGCGCGCCGCCAGGGAAACGGGAAATACTTTGTGCGCCCCCGTATATTTCAGACAATTTTTTTAATACCACGAGTGACTTGTGTCGCGTGCGCCGAGCGCTGTTAACCTTTTAGTTCGAGATTATTTCTTGACATTCGAGAGATTGTACGTTAAGTCATCAGACATTGAGATAATATTTTTCGAAGTTAAAACAACGTGTGACCGTAGTTAAGATTACGCGCTCACCAGATCCCAGGAAACGGTTCATTCGACCGACGTCTTGGTGAGGTTTCAGAAGCAGTTATTACACACAGCGCTGATACACGATACTAATGCAAGGGTCTGTTAGCGTTGAACTTACTTCGCGCTCATGTAGTTTGTCGCTCAGGGTGGAACACCCGGTCTACCTGAATGTCCTGTGGCAGTCGTTATAGTTTAATGCGTCGGGCGCCACCGTAATGCGGATTCATTGCCAACGAAAGCAGCAGCGTCAGGCGGCGGGCAGCCGTTCGTGTAAACATCGTTGTACAGCCACAGCCAACGAGAAATCCCGCAAACGTGTGTATATGTTCACCACCGTCTTCTCGTCGACCCGTTTGCCTCTACCCCCGAACCCGCTTACAGTCCATTCGCTCTAAGGACATACGCCCTTATTCCGCCTCGGCTGCCTTTAATGAAAGCCATAAAGCGCGCCAACCGGATCGAGCATGCGGCGCGCGACGCTGAGCGTCGAAGCGATGCGAGAAGCCTCGTTGTGCCCCCTTAGGTCGATATGCAGGGTCGATGGCGGTCGCGAATTGAAAAGGCGAGTCGATGTCGGCGGC